TGTGTGATCACATAGGAAAAAATACGTTTATGTAAAAGCTATGTAGCCTTTATGTCATGATAAAACTAAATTAAAATGTCACACAGTAAAAACATAGGCTGCAAATATGTTTCATTCACATAGCATAGAATATACATAGCACTATGTAAAAGCTAAGAATATCGTTGGAAACAAAAGTGAACATCAAGAGGCTATGTAAAAGTTATTTTACTTTGGTGCTTAGTGAAAACATAGGATGCAAATCGGAAGGAAGACCAGAACTTTCTATTGCATAGTAAATACATAGCTATGTCAAGACTATGAAAAGATTTTAAATAGTATTTGCATAGGTGTTAAAAAGCTATGTACTTTTCAAATAGCCTAAACATAGTCTCAACATAGATTTTTCATACTTTGGACTATGTTATGTGTTATGTTACATAGTTACTACATAGGTAGTAGTGAACATAACATAGCTGAAACATAGTCCAACATAGTAAACAAGTAGCATGAGCATAGGCAGCTGTGACGGACACCATACAAATGACTTATTGATGGACTGAAGCAAAACTGACAGCAAATGACTGGACAACCGTCAATTTGAGTAACATTAAACAATTGTTTCACTGTGACAAAAGACGGATCAAAATGAACCAATGACATGCAGAGTCTTCTTAGCCAATGACATCATGGCTGAACTGACAGACGACCAATAAGATTGCAACTTAATTGATCAATCAGGTCAATAACCAGAGTTTAATACCAACAATTGACACGATACAACTCACTTTGACTCTGAAAATGGCTACTGCACAGGTTGTCGAAATGTCTGTCACTGTCAACAACAATCCTGTTCAGTGCTACACTCACCCGGAACTATCATAAGTCACCTACTTATGAAATGACTCTTGGGTTCAAACCTTTCACAGTAACAGATGTCCAGGTGAACCTAGAGCTGAAAAGAAGACTTCAATCTGATGGATGCTTCTTGGATCCTGAGAAATATGATCCGGTGAAATTCTTAGGATCTGGAGGATATTCTAAGGTAAAGGGTACAAGTACAGTGTACATAGAGGATATTTGGCCTTCTTAAGGGTTTATGCTTAATCAAATCAAATCAAATCACTGGTTTATTGTCCCTTTTGCAGTCGGACTGAAGACTGAATTGTAGGATACCTTACAAGCTGTGATATATATACTAATATGCTACATTTATTGACAAGATTTATATTTAACACTAACAAAATTTGAGAAACGTTCAGTCCTTGTGGCCGTCGGCTTGCTAGAACTCCCTGATCTTAGACACACACTGGTAGATATAGAAACCACTCTGTTGTATTTAGTGGGTAGAATGGGTTACCTGGCCGAACCTTACCTATAAATTTAATACAGGAGACTGTCCGACGGTCAGCAAGAGTGGATAATGCAGCTTTGTCAAGTGCTGTTTAATGCAAAATACCAGGCCAAATGATGGAAAGGGCCCTTTTTTGCACGTTCTCAAGATAGCAAGCAAGATACTTAGGCAAGTCAGCAAAGATGGCGGAGATGTACTAGTAGTGTACTAGTATAGAGCGAATTAGCACGCAGTAAATATGAACAATATCAGCCGACGGAACTTTGCACTTGTTGAGTTGTCTCAGTGCATAAAGCCGTCTGTTGGCCTGGTTCACTATGTAGTCGCAGTGCACTGCCCAAGTAAGGTCCTCAGAAAGATGAACACCGAGGAGCTTAAATATATAAGCTCTTGGGTGTCTATATCTCTGACGGTCTTTCATGGAATGTCCACATAGAGCACATAATCAAAAAGGCAACAAGCATTTGTACGCATTGCGCGCGCGCAAAAAAAGTGGCCTCATTATCACGGAGCTAGTGCAAGTGTACTGTAGCATTGTAAGATCTGTACTTGAATATGCCTGCCCTGTTTGGGCAGCCCTACCAAAGTATTTAGAGGACGTTATAGAATCTGTACAAAAAAGGGCCCTACGCATCGTTTTGCCGAACTGTCACTATGACGACGCCCTAATTCAATCTGGCATCACTGTCCTTTCCCAAAGAAGGGAGGAAGCTTGCATTAATTTTATCAAGCGTGACTGCCTGTCGTCTCCAGTACTCAAGCCATTAATTCCTTGTGTGTCAATTGACAGGCCTCACTGCCTCCGTTCAGGCGAATGTGTTCCGGTGCGCCTTGTCCCCAAGACAAAGCGATTCGCAGATTTCTGCACCATTAAGTTTCAAGACCAGTTGTAATCCTGTGCTTTTTTATTTTTTCTCTGTTATGTAGTGTTGTTAATCATATTTACATAATTATCTATTTGATTGTTTTTGTATTGTATTGTCTTCTGTTAGTGTCACTGACCTTCCTTGTAATTGAACCTTTAGGCTGCGAGAGGGATATCAATAAACTATTATTATTATTATTATTATTATTATTATTATTATTATTAATGTAGAGACCTGTTCAATATCGGACCCACCAACTGGGATTTTCCCTGTCGGTGTCTCAGCACATCTTTGTGTTGTTTGTCACCCTTTCATCTGTCACAGTGTTAGTGTCTGATCTAGGATTTCCAGCTAGGGGGGCAATGCATCCCAGTCAACAATTTTTCAGAGGGACATTTCTTTTTTGGGAGGGGCACTGTTTTTTTTTTTATTCTAATGTACCAGGTGTTCGGATATCAGCAAATGTCATATTCTCTGGATTTGGCTCTTGCTTTCCCTTTGGTAATCTTCTGAAACTTAAACCAAAATATTATTTTAAGAAGATTTTGCACGAGGATAAATTACATTTCCTTGTTTCTTTTTCTTTTGGAAAACAATTTGAAGAGCGGCAAAGTGACCCAGATCGGGTATTTGAAGGGGACATCTTTGCTCAAACCGCGGCAATCCCATAGAGGCAGGCTCTAGATCAGACACTGCTGTCTTACATCACTGTTTCAAGGCCATGTCACATGTCAGAATTGTATCCTAGCAACGCTTCAATATTACATGGCCATGCAGAGATCTGAAATATGCCTCTTCAAGACTTGAAAAATATTTCACAAGTGAGCCTAGTGAACAAGTTAGTTATTAATATTTTTCAACATGTGAGGATAATTTTTTTTTTGGATCTCCAAGTGGCCGTGTATTGTATATATATATATATATATATATATAGGAAGTCTGTGTTTCGATTTTTCCGTAGTAGAGTGCTCGATACGTTAAAGTAGAGCGTGATATAAATATTGGAAGTAGGAAAAAACTACACTTTCATCCCGACAAGCCTGTTTCGTGATCTCTCACTCTTCAGGGGATTTTAATGATAAGAATATTCATAACCATCGACTATATACTTTGAGATTACATTGTTGGGGAAAATTTAAATTTAAATATTTAATTGTTACATAGCAACGCTTTGCTTCTGTGGCGGCAAGAAGATACAAGTTCGTTACGTTTGTTAAGTGATGATAGACGTGTTTACCAAGTAAACACGTCTGGTCCCTGAAAGACAACAACATTGACTACTCTATTCATGGCGTATCATTTCATCTAGCTCATCGTATAACAGTTCAAGTAAAAGGTGTAACCTTTGCCTCAAAGAGAAATTTTTAATTATCTGTCGTCCCAATCTATCATCACTTAACAAACGTAACGAACTTGTATCTTCTTGCCGCCACAGAAACAAAGCGTTGCTATGTAACAATTAAACATTTGAATTTAAATTTTCCCCAACAATGTAATCTCAAAGTATATAGTCGATGGTTATGAATATTCTTATCATTAAAATCCCCTGAAGAGTGAGAGATCACGAAACAGGCTTGTCGGGATGAAAGTGTAGTTTTTTCCTACTTCCAATATATATATATATATATATATATATATATATATATATATAATTTGCACGGAAATTCTCTTGCCAGGAGAGGGGGTCTAGATCCTGCCCGCTTCTCAACTCCTTTAACGGAACCTCCCTTGCGGTTTCGCACTGGAAATTAAGGATGGACACTTATGGTTGGGTGTCTATCCAACCGTCTCAACCAAAACAAGCCATTCTCCGGACCGGTTTCGACTTTAATGTCTTCTTCAGCGGATTTATAACAGTTTCAGCTTGTCCGGTCGCTTACGCGCCGTTGGACTTAATGCATTAACTCGTTATCTACAGTCATTTATATAAACTGTGCAATTAAATCATTACATCTATTACGTCAGTGTGACGTCACTAATTTGATCAACAAGCAGTTCGAGTTCCAAACGAAATGTTGTTTCATTAAAATAAATGTCTCTATTCTGTCCCTTGTCGGACCCTGCGATCGCACTTTGTCTCTCTTAAAAATAATATTCTTGCTGCTTGTGCCTCTTCGTCGTCTGTTTGCCACTCGAGAATTATATAGCTGAAACTGTTTTTTCTCTGATGTTAATAGCGGCGGTGGACAAATGGACAAATGGACAATGGTGTGTAAATGGACAATCATATCCATTTACACACCAAGGACTTTCCGTGTGTTTGGACAGTGCACTCAATCAAGTTTTAGGACTAAAACAAGTTCTATGAACGCTTCTAAGTTGTTTAATTAGGAACGATGCGAACAGCGTAAACAACTTCAGAACATTAGAAACGAATTAATTGCGTCATACCAACGTCAACAATGACATTAGCGCGCGAAGCCGACAGTGCGCGTAAAACGGTAAATTAAGCCTTCCACCACTAGGCTGTAAACAAGTAAACAATTTATTAAGCAATTAATTTCGTCACACGAACGTAAACAAAGCTAACGAGCTTTGAAAAGTATAAATAGGACAACGAATACGATAATTGAGTGTAACCTTTGTGCCCTGAAGAAGCCAAACGGCGAAACGCGTCGGCGAAATAAAAGGTCTTGTGGCAAGTGCATTCTTCGTGCTATGTACGCTCGTGACACCCTAGAGCAGGAATACCCTGGTAAATATCCGTGGCGGGATCTGTGCAAAATATATATATATATATATGTTGCAGTTAATTTTTTATTTCAGTTAATTTTTATTTTTCTATTGTTTTTGGGTATGGTAATGTATGCTAATGAATTTTAAACAAAGGGAAAACAAAAATTAACTGAAATAAAGAATTAACTGCAACATATATATAAACACCTATGAAATACCAAACTACTTCACTTTACAGTAGAACCTCGATATAACGAAGTGCCAAGGGACTGGCAAAATATATTCGCTATAACGAGGTTTCGTTAGACAAGTCTAGGAATTTACTTACTGTCCAATTTACAATACATCATAGATTAACAAAAACAACTTAAAGTTTTAATTTGGAGGCTCTTAAGGCCCCACTTGATTTTTAGCAGAATTAGGCTAGTTATCATTAGTTACAAAATTTCATAGGCATTATGCAATCCAGTGCAATCTTGGATCATAATTGGTAGGGGGAGGGATGTCTAGAGGAACACTTCCAGAAAAAATTGATGAATTCTTCATCTGAAGTCTCTGGACACAGTTAAGTACAATGAAAATTTCACTTCTGATTAACATTATTTGTGAAGTTCCCTTAAAGTTAAAGTTTGGTTAACTCTTAGAATTTTAAGGGTAAACTGAGGCTTGACATTCTCATAACAGGTCTATCTTGTGATTGAAAAACGAACAGGCAAGAAAATGGCTGCTAAGATGTTTAATCTGGGGGCAAATACAAGTGACACACAAAAGGTACAAAGTTATAACTACAATTTATAACAATATCATCGTTCCGTTTATAGTCAAGGCAGTGCAAAAAAACTCTTTGTGTTCATTTTTCTTGTCCATGATCGTCACTTGGGTATTTATTGTATTTTGGTTTGCTGCTCTAAATATGAAGTTCTTTTTTCCAAAAAAATCCCTACTTTACTGCCCCCAGAGTGAGTAATGAAGGCGTGAAGTAAGATTTTCAGAGGGATTGAGTGAACAAAAGGTAAAATGGTAAAGGTCCTTATTTTATATTGGTAACCTGTCACAGTCATGATTTACTGACAAACGTGAGGGTGATGGCACACTCATTCTTTTCACCGTACGCGATATCTTCATTCCATTTGTTTATTAATGAGAACAGTTGTTCAAGAAATGCGAATGCGTTGTACTGTGTATTTGTCATTACGGCCCTCAAGTCATGAAATTTGAGCCCGCCTCGATAATACAGCCATTTTTTTTACCCATAGGTGATCGTATTAACGTGGTTCCACTGTACTTGTTTTTCGTCGTTTTCTGGAAATGAAATTTAATCAAAGGGTGCCTCTGGCTAACTCGTGGATTAAGTATTTTAAGCCCCATTCACACCAAAGCTTAAATTTGTTTAAAAGCTGTTTAGTTAAACACAGTTTGAATTTTATTTCCTTCATAAAAACTGCCAACTAACTTGAATGGATTGCAAATTTAGTGCAAATTACCAAATATGTTGAATTTTAATTTGAATCCTGTGTGAAACCCTGTGTTTCAGTTTTCAATGTTGGATTTTCATTTTTAAAACCTGGTTTAATTAAACATGTTTAATTGGTGTGAATGGGGCATTAGACATCAAAGCTGATAATCAGCTTGCAATAGTCTACCCGTATTAGGCTGTCAAAACATGGGTCATACAATGCAAAATCTCTCTCACAAATTTAGGGCTTAGTTTGCCAGTTTGTGTTGGACGATAAAAACATATGAGAAGGGGCTTGGACTTTTCTGGCTATTCCATCATTCCAGGGAACATATGTGACAGTAGGTGCCTATATGAGGCTACAGCCTCTTTGAAGAGCACTATTGTTTACTCACCGCTGTAGTATTGAGGTTCCTGTCTTAAGACAGTATAAGTGGCTCATCCCCGTGCCAGTTCCCTCTCTTAGTCATTTTTATTATAGTTATGCTTCCAATAATTATTTACAAGTAAAGTTTGACTTACTTCGTGAACAGTTCGATACTTCTCCAACTCTGTTCCTCCTAGTTCGTCTTCTATGTGATGTTTACTTGCAGGTTGACCACATACATGTATATTCTATGGTTTCGCATCATGAACTTGTCAATTGTGTAGCCAGTGTTTGGCGTGCTTACAATACTTGTTTCCTTCAAGAAGTGCTCGTTTAACAGTATTGCTCATTATGGTTTGACAAATAAAACTCTTTCTAATCAATGCTTAAAACATTGGCATGAGATTTCACATTTTGAGGTCACTTTCCAGTTAGGCTGAAGTTATTTACCGGCTTGACACACTCTGAGCTTGGGGAGTCGAAGAGCAATTGCTCATCTCTTCGTCATGTTAAGCGCCTGGACGAGTCAAAAAGCTTCAAGAGTTCATAAAATTCTGTCTCCAAGTTAGCCATAATGCTAATGTGAAACATTCAAAGTCCACATGAAGACAACTTACCATCCTATATATGAAAGCTACAAAGTCGTAACATCGAATGTACGATCAGCATTTCTTTATCGTGGGGACGTCCAGGAACGATCGATCTACGACAATATTGTCGTTTTGATATCGGAAATTCTTGTGCCGTCCGACTAATCACGAACGTTGTCCACACCTGAGTGACACATTTGCATATCGCAGTGCCCACAATGACTCGTTCCTTACGCTACGCGTAATCCACGAGTTAAAAAATTTAGTTGAATTTTGACTTTTGTCACTTTTGGAAAAAGGGTGAAGATTTTTTTATTAGGGAATTTTAGATATGGTTGTCAAAAATGGTTTATCTTTCGTTTTTGGTCTTAGCTGATAGAGTCAATGGAAACTGAAGTCAGGGCTCTAACTTCAATTAAACACGAGCATATTGGAGAGTTCTTTTTTGTGGAGCGTATTCACAACACCGGTCTTCTGTTTCTGGAGTACATGGAAGGGGTAAGAAAAATTTAAGTCAATCAAAATAAGTTGGCTTTAATTTTATATATAAAATTTCAGATACAGTGATTTTACTTAACCCGCGAAATAGGTAGTAGAATACTAGCTACGCACTATTATCCACTTATTTTATTGTCTTCTTTTGTTTATTTGTAGCTATTTTGCGCTAGTTGTTATTAACTGTTTCACGGGTCAAGTAAAATTGCTCTTAAGTCAGTGATTTGATTTAAGAGGGAGTAATGTATGAACTTAAAAATATGCAAAAAAATGCAATTAAAGATATGTAATTATACAAGAAAAAATAAACCGTGTAGAAAATGTAAACTGTAGGCCACTTGCACTAAGAGGTCGCGTGACTAATGCTTCCTTTAAACAATGAGTTGGAATCTTGCTGATGCCAAAAATTGATAGAGCACATAAAAATTATCTCACACCCGAAATTTGAGAGAAAATGCATTTAAGGGAGATATTTTATGGCACTTTGATTTTTCAACAAAGTAGTATGATTTGTATTGGCCGCCATGTTGGAGGGCATACTCTTGCCCTCCAACATGGCGGCCAAAACTACTTTTTGCTTATATCTTGTTAAACGTTTGATAGTTTCGCTCAGATGTGCTGTAAACGTTACTACATCATCTTTTCAACATTTTCCTTGAAGTTTAAGTGCAAAATTTGTGTTCAGAAAGAGGTAATTCATAATTTTAAAAATCACATTTTGGTCACGTGACCAGCTACGAACTAACTCAATTTAAGAAAATGGTGCGGGTTTGAAAAACCAAATCACTACTATTTTGTTTTAGATCTTACCCATTAATCGTTTTTCGCAGGAACAATCATATAATTTTCATTTTCATAAAAATGATGTCACGTGACCTCTTAGTGCAAATGGCCTATAGTTAACTGCAGGATTTATAAAATTAAAATAAACCCTCAATGTCAATTAACTATATACAGTGTAATATCGTTCTAAATAACACTTCACCGTTTATTTTTCTTATGTTACTTACATGTGCTTTATATTGGTTTTATTGTTATTTTTTGTTTGTTTACTTATATTTTATTACTTTTCGGTAGATATGTATTTATCATGTATTTAACAATATTATTTGCTCGAGCCCGAATGGGCTCTGAGTCAATAGCCCATGAGACCGAAGGCCGAATGGGCTATAGACTCAGAGGCCATGAGGGAGAAGGGAATAATTGTTTTTAGTAAAATCCAGCTAGTTGGTAAAAAATATCGAGACAAAACAACAAAACGGCTAGCAAAACGCGATTCAGCCGCCATTGTTTTGGTTTTCAAAGCCGACGCTTTTCGCTATTAGTGGGCTATAACATATAGCTTAGTAGTAGCTCAACCAATCAGAACGCAGCATTAATAATGGACCACTAGTTGGATTTTACTAAATCATGTATAGTCTATATCATTATATCATGTAATTTTCGCTACCCGACTCGATTTGCCATGCTAGTGTCGGACGAGGCGTTTAATACCGACAAACATTTGTTGTATTCGTGTTTGTTGTTTTTAAAATAAGGTGTTTTAAGTGTAAAAATATTGTTATAGTGAGAATGATAAATTGGATGTTTGAACCATTTAGGGCCTCTTCATATGAGCCCGGTTGACCGGGCTGGCCCGGTTTCCGAGATCTCGCCTCACCTCTAAATCCTTTGTAAAATTTTCGATCTGTTCATATGAGAGGGCGTGCTGGCTCGGTTCCCGAGATCTCGGTTTTTCCAACCGAGATCTCGGTAAGCGGGCTGGAAATTTTGCCATATGAACACTTCATCCCAGTTACCGGGATGATCGGCGGCATGAATTCTGGCGGTCTGGATGGCATCGTCTTGCATTGCCTGTTGTATTTCCACATCGTAAGCATCCCATTTAACTGCAGTGATACAGCTTTAAGAGTTACCGATGCTAAGATAGGCCCAAAAGTGAAAAAAAAATGGGGTTTCGCTGTTTGCTTTGTTTCCTAAATTTGGCGCCAGACTTCGTACCCAGGATCTTTGACCTTTTCTCATCTCGGAAACCGGGCTGAAATTTCTCATATGAACCCAAGGCAAAATTCATCCCGGTAACCGAGCCAGCCCGGTCAACCGGGCTCATATGAAGAGGCCCTTACATGGGTAAACCGGTCATTTCACAGTATGGACTAATGGAAAATAAAACTCAGGACTGGTGAATTTCGTTCAAGAATCGCGTTTACCAAATTCCCATTTACTGAGAAACGCCTCTAAAATGCTCATACTGGTATCAAAAATGTGGTAGAAGAAATGGGGCACGAATTTCGCAGTGGTACATTCCTGCCCGCAAACAGGACTAACTTTTCACACATTCCGTTGCTCCCGGAAATTTTTTCGTTAAACGACCCAAAAAATCGTCTTATTTTTACTTTCTAACCGAAATTTCCGGAAGCTTTTTGTCAATAGTGAACTTGTTTTCCGCCAGGGTACTCTAGTAGACTTGCTTAGGAACAAAGGACCTTTGGAAGAACCTTTGGTGGTCAAGTTCACAAGACAACTTCTTTCTGCTGCTGATTTTCTCCACACGAATGGAAAAAAGCACATTGTACACCAAGATATTAAAGGTTAGGTTTGAAGAGCTGTTGCTTCTTGTACGCAAGCCTGAGTGGTCGAAGGTTTTCGAAAACAGGTGTTTATGTAAACGGCGGTTTCGTACAACGCTTTCCAATGTTTTCGATAAGAACGCAAGCTTGAACACAGGCAGGCAACATACTGTACTTTCCCTGAATGAGTTGCTAGTATTTCTTATTAAATGTTACGACTTGTTAGTGCGGCGCTGTAGTCGATACCGACGTTTATTTTCGTACTTGTAAATAACACAGCAGGGCGAAACTTTCTTCATTTTCTAGGTTGGTTTAATTGGCAACAACAACATTGGAAGAACGTTGAAAACGTTAGTTGTAAACGGGTCTTTGTTCCTTTCATGATGCGAAAATGCTAATGTGGACACGGAAATTTTTTAATGCGTGTTCGTTAACATGAAAACCGATGGTTTTCGAAACGCACTAGTCTGACCTCTAGTGTGGACATTGCTTAAGTGTTAATTGAAGATATTGGTTATTTCAGGCGCGAATATTTTGTTGGATGGCGCCCAGGAAAACATAAAACTGTTTGACTTCGGAATCTGTACAATAATGGAGGTAAGATCGTGTCCTTTATATGAGGTTTACATATTTTTTGCCCCATAAAATGATAGTAATTATACCGGTTTCCTCAAATAAATCAGCCCTTTGCCGTATTGCCAGCCTTGCATTCAGTCTTGTTGTAATTCCTACTTCAAGTAACGTGTGGCATTAGCATCTCTTCTTTAGAGATCCTGCAAGAAAGAACCAGTCGGTTTTATTTACTTGTTGAGTGGACCTCAAGGCGTTCAAGCGTTTTTTTATATATATATACCGATCGCTTACGAGAGGTTCCAACCATGGTAATCTGACTGGGAAAAGTTTGCTGTTTTTGATGGGTGGTCGCTTATGGGAGGTATATAGTCGCACATGGAGGTTCAACTGTACTCTTTTTTATTTCTAGCCACTAGCACTTATAACATATTTTTGTCGTTTGTCTGATGACTACGTGTTGATTTCTACAGGAACCAAGAACTCCCACCGGTGGCCTGGTGACTAAAAATAATGTAGCGTCCTTTTATTGGACAAGCCCTGAGCTTCTTGCTGGAAGAGAATTTAGTCGAAACACAGACATTTGGTAAGCAGAATTCGACGGCTTTCTTGCTTATGGTGGAATTAACTTCATGTCTTTGCCTTTCACTCTCTTTAATTTGTTTGAGTTTCAGGTCTGTAAATTATAGCATTGCGTAGGGCTCTAACTGTAGCGAGTAATATCATCTTCTTCATACATTGATGCCTTTGCTAATTTGTGGAGTTCACGGATTCCGCGCATGCGAGTTTACGAGATGTTATATTTCACGAGCCCTTCAGTCAGTTTTGGGGCCTGTTTACATGGAGGTGGGGGAACCCCAGGTAGTAGGTGGGGGAACCCGCCTGTCCATATGATTTCTCACTTTGATTTGATCACGTTTACATGATAGGTGGGGTGACCCTCCACATGTCACCTCACCTACCTGGGGTACCCCACCTCCATGTAAACAGGTCCTGAGGCTTTGTTGCACACCAGATAGCTCTTGCGCCGGCACGAAAACCATACCGGGTAGGGCTTCTGTTCACACCTAAGAACCGTGATTTTGGCGCGATTTCTGTAACGGAGAGAATCTGCGGCGCGTCGATCTCTAAAACGGAGATTCACATATCGGATACGTTTTTGCCACTCTTTGTCACAGTGTTTTCAGGTGTTTGGACCGTAATAGTAGGAGAGAGGACTGGAACCCACTAATGCGGAAGCAAATATTTAGGAGTTTTCAGGGCGGAAAAACGTTCTGCGCAAGCTTTTGCGCACCCTTATCGCAGGCTCTTAATCGCAGGCTCAAGGCGGGCTTTTCTGTGTGTTGATTGTGTTTGTTTGTTGCTGGAGTTCTGAGTGAAATGCACGAGGTGCGAATGTTTGCTCCCTGTAAAGCATTTTTATTTGACATGTTTGCTTTTTTTTCGCCGCTTGAAAATTACTTTGGATTCAGAACAACCAATGCTAAAGGAAAAACGGATCATTCCGTCAGTCGGAGGTGGAATGAAAGGTTTTGAACATTTCTTAAGAGGCGAGTATTTTTCTGATTGTGCATCCGATTAATTTATGAGTTGAATTAAAACCCACTTGTATGCTGTTATTAGTAGCTACGGTTACTTTTTTACATGCCCAGATTTATTACCTTTGCAGAACCAACTTTATCTTTGTCTTCAGTCAAAGAACCATATTACTGTTATAACGCATCAGAGTGAACAAACTTGTTCGCTTGTTAAATTTCTCGGAAATAGAAAGCCAGCAAGCTTACTCAAGATAATTATTTTTTCTGTTGCTCAAGTAATAATAGTCAGAGTTTTTTTCATTTTTCATTACATAGTTTTGTTTTCCAGTACACTGTGAAAGTTTCTGTTATTTATAAGAATAACTTTCTGTAAGCAAATTGTCCTTTTCACTCGCTGTGAAGTAGAGAAAGACAACTGCCGGCGGTGACTTCAAAACAATTGACTCTTCTCCCTTAAACAATTGCTGCAGCTTGATTTGATTGAGGCGAGCTAAACAAATCCTTATGTGCAATTTTCTGTATTTTCAAATGATCGGCTGAGTTCAATTTGATTAAACGAAGACCCTCGCATGGACCAGTTAACCTTATTGAAAATAGCTAAATGGTGAATCATGGCTTGGCTGCCAAGTTGCAACTGATCTTTTGCTTTTAATATATTTAGGTAGGTTGTTTTCGCACAGAAAATTCATTTCTTCATTGTCAGCAAGAAGTTTTTAAGATAATGTAACTTTAACTTTGTTTGAAGGAAATCCTACTTACGCGTAGGTTTTTGACAGATGTTATGCGTGTTCAACTTGACAACACAAAGCAAAATTTATATATCTGAGCGAAATGAGCAAGTTCAAAAAAACTATCTAGTTGCTTCAGTTGAAACCGATGTTTGGGAAGATTTTATTAGATAAAGATTGACCTTTTTTCTGCCCACATATCAACGCAATAATTTCTACATTGAGGATTTTGTTTATATTTAAGTGAGTGTCTGGTCGAGCGAGGGTTTTAAAATATCAGCTCGAGTGCGACGAAGTTCAGTGACTTCAAACACATTGTGGGCAAGCGTTAATTTTTTTGGGCAAATCACTGTCCAAAGATATGTTGTTTTTGTCTCCACAGTGGAGCTCCGGACCTTATATATCCAGGAACTTCCTTATATGAAAACATTTTGTGAATGCATCTTGAAAAAAATCGGACCTACGCATGCACATTTCCAGTACAACGCAAGGAAATTAATGTTGTTAAAGTCCGTTTTGCCGTGAGGTATTCTTCGAGAAAATTAGGTAATGACAAGGTTATAACCACAGCTTGCAACATTTGAAGACAAATTGCCTGTTCTTTCCAGGTTATGAGTGGAAACATTTTATTTTTAGGCAAAAAAATATTTTAAATCCCGCCTTTTTTTCAAACCCGGCCAGGGGATCTAGGCAAAAAAGTTCACGCATGCTCATTACGTTTTTCCGCCCTGAAATTTAGGAGTGAGGAGTGGGATATAGTGCACCAAACCCTCTCGGCCAACCGCGCCGGCACGATGTTGAAAGGATTCAAAGTGTGTGAACGACCTGTTCCAGTTCTGTGCCGTTGCCGTTCATTCTTTAGTAGAAAGGTTTAGAGGCTTAGAGGCTAGCCTGCATAGCAGCACCTCTCAAATAAACGTAAAAAAATGCAGTTAGTTCAGAACTTTGCCGGCAGGATATTTCTTGGTCTCCGAAAGTATGATCACATTTTTGACGGATTGAAGTCAATTGGATGGTTTTCTATTGCTGTTAAACTACTTTTAAATGATTCTGTTATGGTCCATAAGTGCCTAAGTGGCCGATTGCCCGACTCTCTCAGTCAAACATTTACACGTAGACTAGCTCATCACGATAGGAACACATAACAAAGAAGACCTGAATCTGCCGAGATGCAGATTAATAACTGGGCAGCGATCTTTCGCCTTTAGAGAGGCTACTTGTTGGAACAAACTACCCAAAGACATAAAGGAAGTAGCAGATTGCCGAATATGTTCTTAAAAGGACTTTCATTATTTTAATAGTTATAATTAGTTGACTATTACAATTATTTTTTCTTGTTGCGTTCGCAGAACGCCATCCTAAATTAGTAGCCAGAAAAAAATCGAGATTTTTCGCGACGGACTTCCAAATAGCCTGGCCTCTTAAAAGAACGTAGCTGTCCTGGGTAAGAACGATGTAAAACACATGACTCATTTTTCGACAAGTGCAAGATGACTTTTGGTCCACGTGACTTGTAACACACAATGGAAACTTTCAGAATGTCTCTTGATCTGTTTGCCTCTTAAGCTCGATTCAAAGTTTTCCTGGTGCTAGCGAAGGCGAGAGAATCAAGTTTTAACGCGAACATAGGTGGATTTTGTTCTGTTACTATTGTTTGTTTGTTTTTTATGGCGCCTTAAATTACTTAGATATATTTCGAATTCAGCATATACGATTAAGCGCGTTAATTGAGCAATTTTTTGGTGTACACGGCGTACAAGAGATGTTCCTTCGACTTTCGACTTTCGTTTAGTTATTTTAACAAATTAGGTTTCATGAATTGTAGTGTGGATCTTTCAACTTTGAGTCGCATAAAAACCGCATGCAGCGTTCAAGTTAAATAATTATTGCTCGAGGCTTTCCCGGTAGCACTGCACTTTATTTTTGTTAAGTAATGATTTAGAAAGCTAAAAAGGAAGCTTATATGAATCCTTCCGATTGATTTCATTAGAGAGCTTAAGCAAAGTCAAACAAATTCAAGCAAGTTTTGAAGAAGCAAAACATTACTCTGTACGTGCACGATGCACGCTTTTCTGTCGGATTTTTTTTGTTTTTTTCGTCGCTCACATGACTAAAAATCTCAGTCTTATATTTTATTAGTACAAATGAAATTATCCGATTATTGCCAAGAAATCTAAATCCTGCAGCTGAAGAAACTAAAACTTGGGTCAACTAACAGCTAATTTCATTTTGTTGTTAACTGATGCGCAATATAATTATGCAGCACATATTTTCCTATATCAACCTTTTTACAATAAAATTGCTTTTTAACAATATGTTAAGCATTGCCATCATCATTGCCTTTTTTTTCTCCCTGGACACTAACTCATAGAAGTTTGCAAAAATCTATGTTCTGCCCGGAAATAACTCACTTCGCATATCGAACGCACACTTTAATCTATGATTACCCCTAGTGTCTAGGTAATTGGAAATAGTTAGCTCATTGTAACTGAAAAGCCCTGTTAAGAAAGTCTCGGTAAATGTATGTAATCATGTATTTATGTATAGGCTAGCCTAAGCCGCGGCGCGTCGAAAATAATGGAACGGCTTACTTCTCCGAAATTTTGCTACACCTCGAAATTGAGATTTCTTACAGTTCCTGTATTGCTTTTAGGAGTGTTGGATGTACAGTAGTGGAGATGCTAACAACAAAGCCACCTTTATTCTTTGAAAAGCTGTCTGTAGGGCAATCAATGTACCGGATTATAAACAATCAAGTTGAACCACCGACTGATTGTACGTCCCTAGCGTTTAGGTTTTTAAAACGGTGCCTTTGGTAAGTTCTATTATCTGGTAAAGATTTATTTCTGTATGAGCTGTGTAGCTTTGAATGTGTTGAGATGCATGTAATAAAACCGAAACACCCTGGATCACCAACACAAGTTATTCTTGTCAAAATATTTACTAACTTAATTCAGTATTTTACTCATTGTACTGATCTTAAATGGCGAGTTTATTAAACTGATAATTTCCAATGGATTTATAGCGGACTCGCAAGAGCGGTTAAGAACTTGTGAAATCAAAAATCCATAAGCCCATAAGCGTGTTAGAATCGGAGACGCAAAGATCAGAACGTTTGCTTTTTGTTTTTTGTGCGACTCCGCTTATGACTCCGTCGCGTGCGATCAAGGGAAAACTAGATCATCGGAGTCGAGAGCAGAAGCAGAGGAATATATCAGTTGCAATGCTCGTTCTCATCCGTTGTGATTGGGGGACCAGAAGGGTGGTTCTTCCGTTTCTGCTTGCGACCTCGACAGTCTAGTTTCGTCACGTCGTAAGCGACAGAGTTGTACGATAATGGGAACTGGAACTCTGTTTTCACTAGATTATAAAGCTCCGCGCTTCTGATTACGACTCAGACTCTGACTCTGTTGCTGGTGAAAGAAAGCTTCCTGGCCCTAATATTTCCCAGCATCCAACTGTCTATTTTTACGATAACATCATTTCGTTACAACCACCAGAATCCTTCAGGATTTTGTGTTCTAGTGCGAATGGGGGCTTTTGTTCTTGAAAACTCACTGAAATGGGCCATTTACACTATGGCGTCATTTTACTACTACTACCAGAATCCTTCAGGGTGTTTCTTCCTTGTGCAAATTTGGGCTTTTGTTATTTAAACCTCGCTGGGATAGACCTTGTCACGGTTTTCGACGCCATCTTGACGAGTAGGCAAACCCTTGAGAAATTACAGTGTTTTCATGAGAATCTAATGTCGAATAATTTCCGTAGAACGGCTGTTTTGAAAAACATATGAATTGTAAACTAATGTTTCACTCCTAAGGATTCTACTGAGAAAAATTGAGGGTGTTACATATACGCTAGAAGACCTAGAACCACTTTTTAAAATTTTCTATACATTTGTCTGTAAGAAAGTCCCAGGAAAAAATGTATGGAAAATCTAAAGCAAGCCTCTGGAGAAATTTAAGCACAGGTACGCGCCCCAATTTTTTTAGTACAATCCTTTGTTTTGTAGCTTTAGTTTACAACTCATATTTTTTTCAAAACAGCCGTTCTATGGAAATTATTCGACGTCAGATTCTGATACACACACTGTAATTTCTCACGCGTTTGCCTACTCGTCAAGATGGCGTCGAAAACCGTGACAAGGTCTATTATCGCCAATTTTTAAAAAAAAGATTTTGAAAAGTTCTTTTCATTAATGAAATTGCTTAAGAAATGGAGAACAATTTAAAGAATTAAAGAATATCCATCTTGATTTTATGAAATGCAATATCCAAATCTTTTCTGTTTTTTTTTTATTAATGTATGTAAAAAATTTGTTTCACTTTTAACCAGTCTCCAGGTGGATATGTTTTTAAATGGGTGAGTGTGTTCCAGCGTGTGTGTATGAATTATAAACAAATTTAAGCGGACATAGCTTTAGTAAATGTCTAAGTGAAAATCCTCACGGCGCGCTATTTTCATCTTTTGAAATCCAGCCCAAAGGAAATTCGAGCATCAGCTGCCGAACTGTTGTTAGATCCTTTTTTGAACCATGAACAACTGGAGGAAGTCCATCCACAAAGAGGTATGGCTGTAGTTAACATGTAGTGCTAAAATACTTTTTCTTTTACTTGTTTAAGTGAATTTGAATTAAATACTCTTATGAATTCTAGGAAACCTGAAATTGAACTATCACAGCAAAAAATCCACTTATCTATTTTAACTTTGGGGGCCCTCCATGCATTAACGGAATTATCTTAGATATTCAATTACTAAAATGTTCACGCTGTTATCAACATTAGTAGTATACTATATTGGAAATTAAGCCCCGGTGGTGTCGAGTTAGTGTTGAGTTGTCGAGTTAGATCGAGGTAGGTTAGGGTAAATCATTGATAAATAAGGGTCGAGTCTATGACGTCACCCATTGTTATAACCTAGGGAAAAAGTGCGTTCCTCCATACTAATTAAGTGCCTAGTCAGTGTCTAGCTAGCTAGGTAAAAATGCGTTCCTCCATACTAATAACTGTCTTCCTCCATATATAATTAAGTGGATAGTCGTTTCTTTTCGTATGGAAGAACACGATAGGAACAATAGGCTTGCCTAGACCTACCGGGTAAGTAACTTGAGCCCGGTTTTCGGACCGTCTATTTAAAAAGTAAGAATAAGAGGAGCGATCACCTAGCAACACGAGAAACGGCTTATGTCTTCTATTAAGCGCTAAAAAATAGGATATATAAACAAAATACATACACAAAGTGGTGATGAAAAGTCTTTATTCCAATTTAGCTTAAGTCTTCTTATTTAGCGCTAAAACTCAGATATAATAACAAATCACACACACATACAAAAAGTGGAGCCGAAAACTTTCTATTTCAAGTGTTTTTGCCTATTACAAAACCTTTTTCTCCTTTCTATCTCAAGGAAACGACTAACTATTGAAGTCTCTGCGTTTCACGCACCGTTAGTCAGTTAATTATGCGAGTTAACAAGCCCACCTTTGTATACAGATTAGTCAGTTCAGCTCCGTAGTATTATTCTAAAAACACACACAAAAGAAAACTACTAATACCTTAAAGGTCAAATGAACCAAAATTTCCTCCTTTTTTATTTTAGTTCAATTCTAGTGAAATGTGTTTAATATGAACCAAATAAACATACTATGAAGTTTCAGCTCAATTGAAGCAAGTATCTCCGAGATATTCGCAATTGAAAATTGCGGTTTTTTTTTTCGGAAAAAACAGCTTGTGACGTCAATGTTGGTCAGGTGAAAAAAAGGCGGGAAATTCAAAACAGAGTTTTTCGAGTCGACTTGGCGCAGAAGTGGTTTGTGCGGCCATAAACCAGGAAAGAACAGGAAATTTGTCTTCAAAAGTTGCAAGCTGTGGTTATAACCGTCTTATTATTTAATTTTCTCGAAGAATACATCATAGTAAAACGGACTTAAACGACATTTACTAATTTCCTTGAGTTCTACTGGAGATGTGCGTGCGTAAGTCCGATTTTTTTCAAGATGCATTCACAAAATGTGTTCATTTAAGGAAGTTCTTGGATATATAGGGTCCGGAGCTCCACCGTGGACTCGAAAACAAAATATCTTTGCATAGGCCTACTCTGGGACCTAAAGTCGCCCAAAGTCGCCTTAAGTCGCCTAAAATGGTCTTAAGTCGCCTAAAATCGCCTTAAGTCGCCTTAAAACGCCTTAAGTCGCCTAAAATCGCCTGAAGTCGCCTTAGGTCGTCTTTAGTTGCCTTAAGTCACTTTACATCATTCAAATCTTAACGAGGTTCAAATTGTCTTGTAGTTACTACTTTTTTAGTTTTCTATTTCCAGAATGCATGATTTCTCATAAAGTGTGTAATAACCCATGTTCAATAATATTAGCCACAGACCCACCCCACCCCCCACAAAATACCTCCCATAGTGACTTAAGACCCATTAATTTCTTCTCCAGCCCTCTAATTTATACATTTAATTACTTTACGCAATTTAATACACGTAATAATTAGTCGTAAGCAATACAAGAATAATCATTCCTGTATTGTTTATGCAAAAATGACAACATATAGTACACAACTTTATCCAGTCACTTGTACAGGTATTTTATTGATTTCATCCGGGAGGTTTGTCTCATATTTCTGAGTAAAAGTGTTGTTTAAAAAGGCATTCAAAGGTTCAAGTTCTCGCTAAATTATATCCTAAAATCCTAAACGCTTTCTTAAAAACGTTTCCCAGCAAAATGAAGCCTACTAAATGCCCAGCAAAAGAAAAAAAAATAAGGCAAGAAAAGTGAAAAAAGAGGGGGAAGGGAGAAAGCGAAAAGTAAAACTTCAAGACGGCTGTGTCACTTTTAAACCCTTTCTGCGCATGCCCGAACTTCGTAAGCTAATGTTTTGCATCTGGATCAGAAGGCCGCGAAGTGTACGACCTGTAAACGGCTTTGTGGTACGTTTTAGCTCTTAATAGCACGACAGTGACCAGAAAACTGCTCGACTAGCTTCAAAACGCGTTTTTCGGCAAAATTGCCAGGGGCGAATGGGTTAGGCTGCAGGTGTATCGATTTTGTGAAGTTATCGAATTCCTTTAGTAAGTTTCATTTTTCATGGAACTTTATACAACTACTGCAGGAATCTGAGGTCCCTTCGCAAAAAAGATGTAAAGACTCATTTAGATGTGGCAGATGTTGCAACCGTTCGATAGGATGTCTCATCCGTTAACAACGTATAGGCCTTCAGTTTGTATCTTATTACTTTTACTTTAAGGTACGAACTGTGGGATTATGTTATCTTTTTTCACAATATTACATAACATGTTTTCGTAACTTGATATCAATTTACTTTCACCTCGTATATATGTAGCCCTTCCAATGTTAATAATTTTATCCAGATTTGATTTATTATTTTTGTACTGTACAATGAACAGGTCCATAGGGTGAAATGTTTTTACGTCTAATAAAAAGCGAAACAGTTGAAAAGTTGGGGACCTCTGTTTAATCCAATTTATATTTCTATACAAATAGCTAATCAGAGTGTTAAAATAGCAGATGTCTGCAATTGATATATTATTTTACGCCATCAGTTCCGTTAGATATTCAAGCCCGAGGTCCCCTGGCCACGGAAGTCTACAATAGAGAACTCAAAGAAGGATACGGTTACGCCAGAAGAGTGCCAATCATGATAATTGGGCAAGCTCGGACAGGGAAGACAAGTCTGAAGAAGTCTTTAAAGGGGGAATTGTTCGATCCAGATGAAGGAAGCACAAAAGGTATAGAGACAGATCCTTCCTATTTTAAAGTCACAACAGACATCTGGAGGACAGGCAGAAATAGCGAAGATACTAAAAGAGAGCCAGAATTTTTGTTAGACCGCCAGCTAGCCCAGAATATATTCAAAGGCTTAAAGGAGAAAGAACGTTTAGGGGATCCTAGTACGAGCGGAACCAAGCCATCAGTTAACGATTCCAAAGAAGTCGAGCCATCAGAAGCGAATTCAACGCCCACTAAACGTTCAGACGAATCTAGCAGTAACAGGTTCGAACCATCACCTCAAGATTCTAAAGTAGTCGAATTTTCTGTAGAACCAGAGGAACTCAAAACCAGTTCATCAGTTACAGAGCAGAGTGAGAAAGATCCATCAGCTCAAGACTTCAAAGATCATCAAAAAGTACCAGAAAACGTAGCAGTTTGGGTTGAAAAGCTGCTTAAAGAGAGCAAAGAGTTTATGGAGGGAGACGACATGTATTCTGTCATTTGGGATTTTGGAGGACAGTCTGTTTTCTACGACACCCATCCAATTTTCTTGACAGAAAAGGCCATCTACATTTTGACTTGTGATCTAAGTTGTGATCCGGAAAGCAAAGCCGACACTCCTGTGAAAGAAGGCAGGTACTGCGAGGAAATACGCGACGAATTCTGCGAAAAAACAAACTTCGACTACCTTGATTTTTGGATGTCATCAATTTATTCTTTGGTTAGCAATAATCCTAACCGTCAGGAAACTTCGTCGTCTGGAACGTTACCTGCAGTTTTCTTGGCTTGTACGCATGCTGACAAGCCTTACACTAAAAAAGGTAATCCCTCCCAAAAAATCTTTGGAGCCTTGAAGAAAATTTATGGTTCTCTTCTCAAAGACGTTTTTGTTGTGGACAACACGAAGTCAGGAAGCAATGATGAGTGCGAAGACATAAAAAGACTGAGAGAAGCAGTGCTTTCTGTTGCCGCGAAGCTTCCACAAATGGAAGAGGAAATTCCTTTAAAGTGGTTAAGGTATGAAAAGGTTCTGTATCTGATGAGGAAAGAGGGCCGTGAGAAAATATCCATCGAGGACGCACGAAAGATAGCTTCAAAAAAATGCGGAATTGACGGCGATGAAAACTTTCGAACGGTACTTAACTTCTTGCACGATCAGAAAGTTTTGATTAATTTTGATGATTCACCGGGATTGGAAAGCATGGTCATTTTGAACCCTCAGTGGCTCGTAGACGTGTTTAAGGAAGTAATCACGTTCCGAGGTTTCAATCACAACGATGAAAACGTTGAGGGACTGTGGTGTGAATTTGAGGAAAGTGGAATTTTAAAAAGAGAGCTTTTAGATCTTGTATGGAAACGCTTCATTGATGATCAAAACACCTGCGAGAGCCTCATTGAAATGATGGAGAAATTTAGTCTGATTTGTCAATGGCCATCAGAAGGGACCACGGAGCGGTATCTTGTACCATCCATGCTGAAGTCCAAACCAACAAGTAAATTTCCCAGTCCCGGTGTTCAATTTCCTTCTCTTTTTGTGAAGTTTAGATCACGCAGAGTGCCCCAAGGCAGAGAGCCCCCAGGCAGAGTACCCCCAGGCCTGTTTTCGAGACTTATTCTTCTTTTTCATCATTGGGTCCAAGATCAGGTGAAGATAAAGCACAAGAAGAGGAATCAACCGAAGCCATGCAGTAACTATGCTATGTTTCGCATTGTTCCTGAGGATGATATTTCTGCGGCCTTATTGTGTTATTCTTCGTTTATCGAGATCGTTTTTGTCCTCGAAGGTGAATTTCTTGATGAAAGGCGTCTGAATATCAGCCGTGGTATTCATCAACAGCTGGGACTGATTCTTGATGGCATGCGCAATGAGTTTTCCTGGTTAAAGCACATGGATTACGAATTGTGTGTCGCTTGTTCTGTGTGCTGTGGGGAGAAGGGCTCGTCCAGCTGTGGTCCTCACGAAAAGCGTGGCTGCGATTGTTTGCATCTCTTTTCAGAAGAGGAGTTAAAGGATCCTGTTTGCGAGAGGGAAAATGCTAGAGCAAGTTGCAGGGTTGCCAAAGAGAAGTTTCATCTTTGGTTTTCTAGTCAGGTTTGTTACTTATATTATACATGTACGATTATACACGATTCGAACTGTCAAAAACCATTACACTTCTTTACAGTGCAACTGCACAAACCTAGGCCACCCATACTGCAAAAGGGAGAACCCTGGGAATGAGAGTGGCTATTATAGTGCAACAGCCTATAAATTAATCAAAGCGGAAAATACCATAATAATCTTAAAACTGCCGTCTAGGAGGTGCTTCATGTCATGTAAACCTGACTTTGCGTTATCTTTTCATGAAAGTGCGGGGTATGCAAATTTATGTAAAGCTTAATTTGCACGTGCAAATCGAGCAAAATTTCTGAGTCCTGTTAAAAGGACGGCCAGTAAATCTCTTTTTAAGTACAAACTATCTAAACAAATTACCTGTTTTGCCTTCAAAATAATGTTATCGTAACTAAGCAAAAGTTACGCAGTTTGCACACATGCAACTCAGAAACTCAAGCGCCATTTTGAAACAAGAATTTTCTCTCTACCCCAGATAGTATTTCATCGTCCAGTCGAAAAAATTTAGTAGAGGACCTACCCCAGCTGCGCAATTTATTGACACACATTTCCACGTGACAACCCGCAACCAGGGTTCTTTCTCCAAGCAGGAGAGAGAACCCTGGGAACGAGGATCGAAAGTTCCTACTCGCTAGAACTCATTTCCCTGTTAACGTGTACCACATTTTAAGGGGTATGTTTCGATAAGTATCCTCTTAAATAGGTTCCTTCACGGTATCGTCTAAAGGTCATTTTTTGAGCAATCTCACCTAGTAATTCTTCTATCGTTCCCCTTTCTTGCAGGAGAAAGAGTTGGAAGAATATTTGCGTTCTTGTGGAGGTATTTATCTACAATCTCAGACAAAAGTAGTTGGGAACGTCGTACAACTTAACAGTGGTTCATTTTAATCCTCAAAACAGAGAGTTTTCACTTTTGCTAAATATCCCTCGATCCCCCTATTCAATGTTGGGATATAACAGAACAATTACGCGCACAATCATTAAAGTTTTGCTCAACATTGGGCCAGGGGGCGGGGGAAGGAAGGAAAAAAAGAGGTAAAAAGTAGAAGCCTTCCCAACACTTTTGACGATGATTGTCTGAGAATGGGAAATCAACTTTAAACGCTTATAAAACTTGTCGCTTTTGTAATTTTATAGCTTTTATTAATTTTTTCACGCTTAAATAGTGAATACAAAACAAAAACACGGGACACCCCTTCAGCTACGAGTTTACAAATGGCAAAAATTTCTTCCATTTCTTAAAATGTGTGGTTAGTTTGTTCCGCCTGTTCTTGGCTTTAAAGACTTGTATAGAAGGATATGTATTATTCAATTTACACTTCTAGATAAACAATTTAGCTGCTAAAATGAGATGATTGAGAAAGAAAAATCATCTCCAATGTTATGAACTCCAAACAAGATATCCGTTATCGTAAAAGAATGTAGTTTAATCTTACAATCACGAAGCCAAGAGCAAAACGATTTCCAAAAAGAATCCGTCACATTACTATGAAACATTAAATGTTCAATAGATTCCTCTTTTCTTTTGCAAAATGTACATAACCTAAACAGTTTTTCATTTGTAAACACATATTATTCAATAGTTTGTATTGAAATTCTCGTATCTTAGTCTCAATTGTAACCTCTAAAAGGCAAGGAGTAAATTTCCTTCCAGTCACTTTGAAGTTGAGGATATTTCTCCTGAAATTTCTTTTGGGCAGTTGGAGGTACTTGCTTTTTATTTTTAAAAGCATGGTAAAGTAATTTGGATGTTACGTTTAACAAATTACTTCTGAGTTGTCTATCATCAGATAAACTCTTTCCTACTGTGTTCCGACCCGTGACTAAAGAACACATCCCCCCTCCACTGTGACTTCCAATGATTCTCAACTCCTGGAGTACTATAGGTCTCTTGCAAAAAGATAATATCTGATTTCTTTTTCGTTAGCCAATTAAAAATTGCCTTTCGTTTTTCAAAGGAACGAATGCCCCGAACATGTAAAGATAGAATTTTAAAATCTATATTACTCTTCATGAACAATACGACAGAGTGAATAACAGCAGATTGAAAAAGCGGAACAATAAACATACATGTATAACTGAACATTTGCATACAAGCTGAAGCCGTTGGAGTCCCACATTCCCTCACCTTGGTACCACACGCAGCTGATATAAAAAATTCTACAAACGCAAACAAAGAAAAAACAATAGAACTACGAGACACATTAAGATGAATAAAAAAGTAGCCAGCAAAAGCTGTTGAAAAAGCTACTAATATTCGTCATAACACGTAATAGCAATAAGTGCATAAAACAAACACAAAAGATAGTCCAGTTCTTGACAAAAACAATATTCTACAGCTTTGATATTAATTAGAAAACTTTTAAAGATTGGTACAAGAAATATGTGGTGTAAATAATTTTGCAAATGTTTTAAAACTTGATCACCGTCAATAAATAATTTATCTGGTTCTGCCATAGCCCGAATTGCATCCGATTACTTCGAGTCCTTTTTACTCCCTCAGTAACGTCTGAATAGACCGGTCGTTAATGCCGTCCAGTGCAGTGACGTCACTACTCCTTTGCTTAAATTCATGCAAAAAGTAAAACACGATTTTCAACTGGCAAACAAAAAAATATCGTCTGGAAATGTCTACATGGTACAGAATTGCTTTACTCTTTTTGATTGTAATTCATGTTTAACGTGCATGCGGTACTCTAAACGAATCTGTTGTAATTCAATGATCATGATCAAACTCGATCGCAATCACGTAATGAAATACGCTTAAATACACGCACGGAACACTTCAAAATTATCAAAAACACAACAACTGTCTTTAATCGAAAAGAAGCTATTTGGTCCTTAACAAAGAAGAAAGAAAACAAGAAAGGATCGGAAAGCTAACAGAATCATTTCACTTGACGGTGGAAGTAACAAGAAGGTCGAATTATAACTTAAACCCAGAAAACTCCGCACAAACAAAGTCATTGCCGAAACCACAAAGCAGCTCTAAATGAAAAACCTACGGACTCTCCGCAATGATTCTTCGTTCGCAGTTTAATGTAACAATTCATAGTTTCGAAGACAATGGCAATTTTGCTGTTTACGATAAAGATTGTCGAAATTTTTTAACTCCACGTAAGCATGCCAGACATGCTATCCGCTGAATATCAACGACAGTCAAGCTAAAATTTCTCATAATTATACATAATTATGCGAATGTTTGGACAATCAACTAAAAAAAATCACTACCCGGTTTTCGGGTAGTGACGTCAGTGGATTTAGACGTTGCTGAGAGGAGAAAACGACTCGAAGTAATCGTCCGAAATTCAGGCTAGTTCTACCATACTAAAATAGGCGGTCTTTCCGTCCTTTTTGCTGCATCTTCTTCTTTCTTCGCGTTCTAAAATTTCACTTGGAAGGTCCGGCGAAATTCCAAAGTTTTCTCCTTGAACTTTCTAGCATTGGACATAACCTCTTCACGTTGAGGATATTTCAAAAAAAAGTGCGATTATTTGTCGAGGTTTCCATTGGTAGAAACAAGCTTTCTAACACGATGGACCCTTTGAAATTTGATTTGGTTTGCATCTTCCATACGAAGCTCTGTTTCAAGGAATCCAACCAAAACCTCCCTCGTGTCCTCCCCTGCACTATTTTCTTCTTTAATTCCGAAAACAACGAAGATTTTTCCGCCGCTGGTATGCCTCAGTGTATAGTTTCTCGTCCCTCAGCTGATTAATTTCGCTTTTCAGCTTGTCAAATTTCTCCTTAAAAGACTCGCGTTCCGTGTTCGCAAAATCCAATCCGTCTTCAAGCTCTTTGATCTTTTCTTCTGTCACTTTTCAAGGACTCGAAACAATCCACCTTTGCTTGCAAATCACTCCCTTTTTCGTCAACCGCTTTTACATACTGTTCCAAATTTTCAAGTTTTTCCAACACTTGTTCTAGTTTCGGGATAACCTCTCCCGCCATATTCAGTGTAGTTAACACTTCGTCTGATTCACACAGTTCAGAATCTGAGAGCGAAGCGTCGTGTCTTAACAATTTTTTGCCATCTAGAGAAAGACTATCATCAGTATAGAAGAAGTTGAAGAGCTTTTCCTGGATTTTCGTTCGACAGTTCCGGCCACACAATGTTGCCAAAATCACACACGTGTACTCCGACATCTTGCCTCACACAGTCTCCCAACTTGTCTTATTCAACATTTGGCTTAGATATCTAGCCCTGGAACTTCACTAATAATGTACTTTCCAAACTATATATAAAATTTAATGAAGGTTACATTTTGGTAAAATCATAAATATGAGAACTTTGCATCTGACGTGCGTGTGAATGTCAGAAGCAAACATTTAAGGCGTTTAATTTTCCTCATGAAGCAAGACGAAGTATCCTTGTGTGGATTATGTAGAAAGAATGGCCACAAGTGGTCTGTTTCACTAGATTTAGAGCCAAGTCGTAGGGGCATTTAAGTAAAAATGCTTTTGCGATCGCTGTCGTTGTATTCATGTATCTTTTTCATCAGCGGCATTAACCCTGTTTAACTTTTCCTGTTTCCCATGAGAGAAATATTTTGAAAGATGTTACAAATAGGAACGACATAAAAGCCGCCAAAATGAAGATTTGGTTCATTCCGGCAGTGTTAAACTTTCCGAGAAAAACGCGATGTTTATAGTTGCATATCGTATTATGCTTGTTTTTGAGCGTGTACTTGTGGGAAGGGAGGATTGCGAGATGCGTGCCGAATTGAAACCTTCTAGACTGTATTTTCTTAAGGTCCGAACGTAATACAGAACCTCTATAAACGTTATTCAATGTTCATATAGGAATTGCTCTCCTAGCGTCGCCTGTCAATCATTCAGTTAATTTGAAAACAGTAAACAACGTGGGTTTTCACATTACTCCATCACATTACTCCGTAAGAGGAGTAATGGAGTAGTGTCATATTTTACCTAGAATTAAGCGAAAACGCCCATTAAAATTCGTTTGGTTAAATCCTCGCAAAACCCTCAAACAAGTCAATGAGGCTATTTTGTCGTTAGCGCTACCGTAAAGGAATTATTTCCGGCTACGAAAATGGAGTAATGTGGAGTGTGATGTTTGCATGTCATGCTCTTTTTAAATAGATTAACGACGACAATAGACGTGCTATTCTAAATCAAGAGCGTACTTGGTTCTCGTTCTGAAACCAGTTTTAAAAAGCAGTGCCACAAGGGGTTACTGAAGTTGTTGTTATTCAGCCGGAGAAAGTGGCCTCTAGAAGTGGGGCAAATCTCCACTTATTAATTCATCATTCCGTTGCTCGCGTGGCAAAAGCAGACTGTCAGCTGCAATGTCGCGTTCCGAATGATTTTTGGGATCTGGTGAACGCACTATGTCTTGCTCTAACATTTGAAGCATATCAGCCTATGTTATAGTCAATAACTTCCACCGAAAATAATCTTACATTTGTATTTTGGCCCTTTTCTGTTTCCTGCACAGAGCTATAGTTCTACTTACGGGATTGGAAAACGTGCCAAATATAACGAGGTTTGTGCGCCAAAAACTCTTAGCAAGGTGCGACAAATATTTTTTTTCAAGACAGTACCGTTTACGAGTGTTTTCTGAAGACGTTCCTACCGACAGAAAGTCGTCGACTTTTGATCATTCACGGCCACACCCAGAATTTTCAGACAGTCCCAGACAAAAGTAGTTGGGAAGATTGTACAACTTAACAGTGGTCCATTTTAATCCTCAAAAAAAGAAAGTTTTCACTTTTGCTAAATATTCCCCGTCCCCCTATTCAATGTTGGGATATATAACAGAACAATTACGCACACAAACATTAAAGTTTTGCTCAATAATGGGCCTGGGGGTAGGAAGGAAAAAAAAGAAGTAAAAAGTAGCAGCCTTCCCAACACTTTTGACGATGATTGTAGGTTCTTTTTAAAATGACGTTTAACATCGCAGCCAGCATGTTTAATCGCTAGTAACTGTCTCCTATTCTCGTGCCTGGTTATAATTATTTGTATACTCGCTGATTATATTTAATTTTCAAAACGTTGTACCCAATAAGATTACAGATTCTACGATGCGTGACAAGATTATCGGTGATGTTCACATAGATTTCATCAGGAAGTATAACAAGACAAAGCTGAGAACTAACTCACTAAATGACGTTCCTGTTAAAGTGTGAACAAGAAAAAACATCTGCAAAATATACGTACAGGATGTGACCATAATCCTACGTTACAAAATCAGCTAGGGCTTTCCACAAGTTGCTCGAGATTTTCCAAAAATAGTTTCCCATAATTTCTCAAAAAGTTGCTCAAAAAACAATCAAAAATTGCTTTTTGTAAAACTAAAAGCTGCTACGATATCTCTGAATTAGGAGATAACTAGAGAAATTGCTCAGATTGCAAAAAGTTGCTCGAAATACGAGAAGTTGCCAAAAAGTCGCCTTGCAATTTGTGGAAAGCCCTAGGTGCTCCTGCAAAATTTGCAATGTTTAATTTTGGGGCTCACGGATTTTTACCATATCTGTCAGACCACTTTGCTTAAGGTTGATTTCCACTGACGGGTTTTGGCTACGCACGTTAATGCACATAAATTTTAATCACGTAAATAAAATAGAGGCAGGATAAAAAGTGCTGAGATTAAACGAGAAGTTGAGCGAGGTTCAACTTTTACGCTTACGAGCAACCTTTCATGCATTGCCTCTATTTTATTTGCGAACGTAAATTTTGCGCAGGTACGCACGTAAAAATTACGCGACACTGGAAATAGTTTAGTTTAGCAGAAGATTCGAAATCAGCTGTCGATAGAAAGAAACTCGCATATATCCTAACTAACGATATGAGTAAAGCCTTTGATTCTCTTTGCCATTCTCTTATTGTAAAGAAGCTGAAGGCTTATGGCTTTGAACATAACTCCCTCAACCTTCTGAGATCATACTTCGACAAGAGGCTCAACAGGGTTAAAATAGGCGATGTCACTACACACTAGTGACTGGAAGAAAAGGGTATTAGGCTATCCACAGGGCTCATCTTTTGGTCCGCTCCTGTGGAATTTATTTCAGAATGATATGTTTTCAAGAGAAATATTAGGAAAGTCGACTTTTCCGGACTCGCGGACTGATACGTATATATCCCCGGTATAGTCGTAATGCGACTGTAGAAAATAATGGTGTATGCCATAGGTTTTCATAATTTTAGTGTTAGGAAGATTTCAAGAATGTATAGACTTTAATTATTATTATTATTATTATTATTATTATTATTATTATTATTAGGGATACTTATTATGTATGGAGATAGCCTGTGTCCCCATTAGCTTTTAAGCTAATGGGGAACACAATAATGGATAACGTTAAAGCATTTACTTAATATGTTCATTTCCTCCGAGAAAGTGAAGAATATAAAAAAGGTTAAGCATAATAAGACACCGCTGAGAGAGGCAAAGTTCCTTTACATCTGTTTTGCAATGAAAAGGAACGACTGAAATAAAACGAGAGACTGCCTAAATGAAGATTTGTTTAGGTCTAATACCACAGGTTTATTTGGTTGGCAAGTTGTTCAAGAGAAATTATTACTATTGCTGTAAAAGAACAAGCCAGGAAACATAAAAAAATAGTCCTATGAGGGGACATGAGCTTACTGGCAATGAATAGTCTGTACAAAAACCTTGTGCTTGCAAAACAAAATCGTTCTTCAAGGCAGTGGCCGCCGAATTTCTCCTACAGATGAACTACTCGTCTAGGTATAAATCCGAAGACGAATTTTGACGAATAATTTGTCTAGATATTTTACGCGAGGTACAGAAAAGTCCCAGTAAAAAATATATTGAATGCTTATACCCAAAGGACACTGAATTCTCAATCAAAAAACTTAAAGACAAGTTCAGGATTAGCGAAAGAAATGATCTCGTCGAAAAGTTGGATTCTCGTACATCTGGTGAGTTTTTTAATACCTCATGATTAAGAGGTACGGGTTGCAAAGGTTTGACCAAATGAAATTACTTTGTGTGTAGTCAGTACAAGAGATGAAACTAATAACTGATATTTGTTTGACTTTTAACACAAACCTGCAATGAGCATCGAGGTGGGGGTGGGGGGGGAGGGAGGATATTTTTTAGCTTGAAAATTTAATTTTTTTAGGTAAATATTTCCAACGGCAAAACAATATTAAAACTCTGCATACATCGCAGCTTCTTAAATTAGTTTTTGTTCATTGTTCTTTATAAGGGGGGAAATATTTTGCATACTAGCACTCCGATTTTGATCAAGATTGACGGCACAGGATGTGAATATTTTTCCCTCTGTGAATCGTTTGATTCTTACAAGTGCGTGGGAACTTAAAATACGTTTTTTCATGCTCAGTGATTTAAAATGTATACCTGAGAGAACGAAAAACAGTTTGGAACGTGCTGTGTTTTTGTTTCACTGTGTTCAGTCCGCTGCAAAAGGATTTCAGAAGGAGAAAGTTAGGATGCAAAAGTGAGAGTTTTTCATGTGATTTCCAAACACCATTGAACATTTATACCACTTATTTTTTCTTTATGAAGAATTAATGACTTTGAGAAGTCATTTTCAGATGTTTTCTAATTGAGGACGGTGCCCAATAATGGGAAGTCTTTTTTTCCCAGATAATGACTGTGGGGGATACGTGGATTGTAGTTAGGGCTATTGAAATCCAACAAAAAATTGGGGGTAACCAGGCTATTTTCGAGATAATTGCACTTCCATATTGAGGAAAAGTGCTGATTAGGCAATATTCATAAAATTGAGAAGTGTCAAAGGTTTTTATGAAACTAGCCGTTACAACAGCTAAATCGACAATAAATACAAAATCCTTTTTTAGAAAATACCTGTGGATCGAAAATAACGTTCTTGAAGATTTAGAGTCAAAATCACCTTAAAAGAGAAATAATCAAAACCGACAGCTCTCCATTGCTTTCCCAAAGAAGGATCTAGATAATTTTTTCACCCGGAACAAAATAAATCATGTGTTCTATAGGAACTCCGCTTTCAAAGTAGGGGTAACCAGGCGTTTTTTAAAGTCATTCGAGGTATTTCCAACTTCAGTTGAATCGTTTTTGGGGGTGGATACAATTTTCCTATCCCCCCCTAGTAAGTTTTTGGTTGTCGTCATGAGCATGCTGGGATATAAAATGGCGGCCAAAGAAAACGTCTCAAAGAAACGCCTGTGAATGACAGTGCATAGAGGATATCTTTTCGAAGAAAATGCCCTCAGATGATCAAAATAATATCAAGAAAATACAGTGGAAACCATATTTTATAATTCTAAGTGTCGTAGGGTTTCTTCTTTAAGTTTCTCTTTATATTTAATGGGAAGAAGTCGATGACAAGTATCGTGATCGAACACGTGGCCCGACATAGCACTGCCGATATGAAACAAGTACAGTACAGTATCTTTATTAAATGTCCACTATGTGACTCCTCTGATTTAATTTACAAATTTGGAAAAGGAAAAAGAAAGAGACTAATTTACAAATCTTAAATTGTTAATGATAAATGGAAAAAAGTATAATACAAAATAGCTACGATAATTTATCGTATATACTATATACATATACTGATTATTGACTGATAAATACCCCAATGACATATAAAAACTGTTGTAGTCATGCAGTCAGTCACCAAGTTCTCGGTGCGACATAGCGTTTTACTATTTCTTGTGCTTGCGCTTAGCGAGTTCCAAGTGTTGATAGATCGATAGTGAAAGGAACGTCGTGCAGTGGCTATCCTTCACATAGGAACGTCTAAGTTTTCCCTGAATCGGGTATTATAACTATAGATCACTGTTCTAACTGGCTGGTTGGCACATTTAGCCTCGATCTCATTTGATAATTTTTCTCGACCGGGAACTGGTATCTACTTTGTGCCTCGCTCCTTGACTACAGATGAAACATTGGCGAGTTTTTGTTCACTAAGGGTTGGTTTATTATTTTTTACTCTCAGTTATTGATGTTCCATTTATTTCAGTTCCCTTCATAGAAAATGCTCTTCTAAGATAATCAGATATCCTGGTATTATGTCAACAACGTGTTCGACACGCTGTATTTTAGATAAGCCAAATCAGCTTATGACTGAGGGTTAATATTAACCTGTACAATGCCAATCTGTTTTGTATTATTTTGTGTTTTTAATTTATCTTGCGAGCAGATCAGGTTTCTTGTCATTCATTTTCTGCACTGCGTTTTGATTGTAGTTTGTGAATCAAAAATCAAAAGAATGTGGAAAGATTTATTCCCCCCCCCCCACCCTTTGCCTTATCACCCCTCCCTGTCGAACGCACTCCCCTGATTTGCATTTATTTATTTATCTATTTATTTATTTATTTTTTTACGTACAACACTTTTACAAATCTAAAACAAAAACAGTGGCGAGAGTTTACGTGTGCCTTGCCTAAATCTTACGACGTTAATTCTTTCAATCCACCCCAAGTGCTGCGCTGCACGTAATGTTTGACAATGGTCTTAGCGGAAGTTGCGACTGTTTAACACCCCTCTCGACGTTGTTGTAAGATCCTGGGAAGAGTTTAAACCCGTTTGAATTTCGTCATAACCGGAGATCAGGCGGAATTTTGGCAGCTCTTTTGTGGAGTGAGGCATCTTTCTTAACTATTGTTCAACTCGTCCATGCGCAATGAACCTAATAAACATGTCTTTTCGATAAACTCGATTATTTATTCGAAAGGGTTTTGAGAAAATTTTGACTGTTTAGTATCAACATGGTCATAAATCATTCTAACAATACTCATTGTTTTTGTTTTTTTTTTTTTTACAGACACTGCATCGAAAAGATCTCTCACTGTTCCACCAGAAGTCATCGGTAATCAGCTTAAGAATCAGGATCTTCCCAAAAGTGTGACACATTTTGATGATTGCCAACTGCCAGTCGACATTTTGTTGCTGACGGTCGAGGATTGTGAATTTCTAAGCTGTCTGTCATATCTGAATCCTGGTTTCTTTAAGACTTTTCACGACAATCTTGGCTTTGTGTACCTCGGAGATATGGGAAAAGATGAAAGGAAGTTGAACATTGCTGTAATGAGCTGCCACAGGGGTGCCGTCACTCCAGGAGGATCCGTGGTTGTTGTATTAAAAGCTGTCAACGTCTTAAGGCCCAAAGCAGTGTTCTGTGTAGGTTCCTGTAGGAGCTTAGGCTACGACAAAGTTAAACTTGGAGACGTAGTAATGTTTGAGAAGTTAATCACACCTGGCCCGTGCAGAATCACGGAGGGTGGCATTGAAGAACGCGGTGTGAAAGTCCCACTTAAGTCCCGTCTTTTGAAGGTGATACCAAGGGCTGGTGATGGCTGGAAACCGCCTTTAAAAGATCCAAAAGCACCCGAGGTCAAGATACACCGTGGCACGATTCTGAGTGGGCCCGTAGAAGTAATTGATAGCCCCAAGCATTGTAAGGCACTCATCGATCGATTCCCAGAAGCAGTTGCTATGGACGAAGAGGGTGAAGGTGAGTTTTTGGCAATAGTGAACTTTAATGACCTTGGCCATAAGACCACAGTGGGCAGGATGACTCCAAGTCAGTGAATTGAAATAAATGCCCAAATCCTTTAAATTCCTTGTTAGCAGAATACCTTTAAGTGAATTATTCTATGAATAGATTAATGAAATGGAAACTACAGGATCGTTCAGACTGGATCACTATTTATTTTTTTATTATATGCTCAGTTCATCGGCCTGTGCTTATCGATGCCTTGCCCTTGCAATCAAGCCAGTTAAATTACGAATTGTCAAAGTTTGTTTTAACTATCTCTCACAATCCTTTCCAGCTGCCTTTTCTTGGCTTTTCGTGCATACAGTGTTTCAGTCATAATTACTTCACTTCTTCATGTATGACTGATCTTTACTCTAGGCGTGTTTGCTGCGGCTCACGACCTCGACATTGAGTGGATCGTCATTAAAGGGATTTCGGATTACGCAGGTGGCAGCAAATCCAAGGAGTCGTCTTGGAGGCCATTTGCGAGTTTAATGGCAGCTTCTGTTACGGCTCATATTCTCAGCGATGCCATCATTTTTCAAGACTGGCCTCACTTTGAGTGCACAAGTAAGTATACTAACAGTTAGAAAGCGTCCATTACTTACCAATGCCTGGTTCTTCTTTTACTCTTTTTTACTCTATCCACTGAAAATCCTAATTTTTGCAGTTGTCGATGAAAAATTGAACAATCCGCTTGCAAATCAGTACACTTGTGAATCAAGGTATCTGTCTGTGGTACATTAAGTTAATGTTGTGGTTCCTACACTGTATTGCCAATGGTATTCAATAGTTTTAACTAAGTGGTCAGAGTTACACTTCCTGAAATTTTTCAGCCGGTTTGTGATACCCGGCTTGAAATTTCAGCCCGGACTAAACTATACTCTTTTACACAGGCGCCTTCGATTAAAACTACTGTAGCTAAAATACTGACAACTCCGATTCACTAAAACTCTCTTTATGCAATCGTGTTAATCGCAATCGTCTTTTTGAAAGGCTTTGTCCCAGAAGCCGAGCTAAAATGTAAGCCAGGCTAACCAGGATGCAATTTTTAATGTAATCGGCGCCTTAAGGGTGTAAGTGATTTGACACAAACGTTGATATTTCCTTTACGATATGTAGGTGTTGGGAAATGTAGAAACTGCGAATCACGCATGAAGACGGATGCCCAGATACCTTGGGGTAAATATAAAGACAATAAATTTTGTTGTCATTTCTCTAATTCGTTGATACTTTTTGTAGGTACAGGCTGTAGTGTAACTGACATGTAATACTCAAAGTGCTAGAGATGACCTACAAGCCCCATTGGGCGTTATTCTAAATAAGTAGAGGCAAGTAACCACGCGAGGTCGAGAAAAGAAAACTTGAACCTCCGTGGGAATGAAGCCCGCTTAGGTTGAAAGATGTTTGTATTTGTCTCGCGTCGATCCCTGATTCCCTTTACTAGGGCGAATGCTCGATTAAGGGTTTGTGGCCATCTCGGGCAATTCCACTTCCTTTTCAGAGTTTAATTCTTTATTCTATAATGAAGTGGTACATCCTCTATACAATACAGCTATTCCAATTAAAGTTGTCGGAAGCAAAAGGACTGTAGGGTCATTTGCATGTAGGTAGCCGTAAATCCCTTAAAAATTTGGTGATAACTTCACGGTTGTCAGTACCATAGAATGATATAAAAACCTCACAAACGCTTGCCTTTGTCGTTTTATGACAAAAGTGTCGTGCTTGGTGGCTGACTTTTGGAATTTTTTAAATGAAATTTCCTTTGCTTCGTCTCGTCGCTTAGGCTTTCCAAAACTATCCATCCGTAGTGGCGGTCGTATATAAAATTGTAAATTGGGATTTTTTTTTGCCACAAAGCACTTTGCCGTTGTGAAAAACTTGTGCAAACGTGCCCATGCTTTCCACATTGAATGTTGAGTGTCGGTTTTTAAGGAGAAGGGAAAATCGGAAAAGCGGCAGAAGGAATACGTCTTGGAGTAAGGGAGAGAGCCACTCACATATCGCGTCGACGCCAGGATTTGAGGCCCGGGCCATAGCACTGGGGGGCGGGCGATTGCTCTCACCACTGCGTCACCCTTTGCTTCCCTGGTCGTTTTTTCACTGTTGCCGTATTGACATTTTGTGTTGATGTCTATTAAAAGTGAACTTACTGAATGGGCGTTTTCATTTTTCTTCATTCAGTTTCATGAAGAGAAAGTCAAGCAAAAAAAAGAAAACATATTGGAGCAATGCTTTGTTTTTTTCTCTCCTCTTTAAAGTCTCAACAACTTGTTTTATTGTATTATTATCTTCGTCATTATTATTATTATTATTATTATTGTTATTATTATTATTATTATTATTATTATTACATAAGCAAGCGAATATTAACGTTAAAAGCCGACGTTTTGGTATCATCATGACACCATTCTCAAGGCAAAATGAATAAATAATGCGAAGATTTAATTTTTATAGTCTCTACAAATTAGCATAATAACAAAGGATCACAAGTTCTTCAAGTGAATACCTTTGCGCGAATCGAGTCCGCCTGCACGTTTAGGGATGGTTTGAGTTTTCTTATAAAGAGCATCTCCTTAATTAGGCAATCAAATTTGTTAGAACCGTTAGTGAGCACGTGAAATTGTTCTGAAAGAAAAGGTGGTACGTCCGAGCTATGTTCGCTAAGATAATTAGATTATTATTATTATTATTATTATTATTATTATTATTATTATTATTTTCACTGGGATATGTAAACGTTACAACGAGTTAGTTTAAAGCATGTAGGTTATATGTACTAGGTCAGTAAAATATAATATTTTATTCTATTTTTTCTTTTCTCTATAAGGGAGATGGTTTGGTGAAACTAATATCAAGATAGTGGTTGCTGGACTGGTGGGTCTGATTGCAGTTGTGTTGTTCTTCTGTTTTGGTTCCAACTAAAAGGTAGTGACTCAATAACCCAACCAGCCTGTACTCAGCAGAATGTAAGCCAATAGGTAAGTGTACTGAAATGACAACCAATAAAATAACGAAATTAAATCACGTGAACAGACTACGAGTAGCCATCATTTTCCCCCTGGGATAGTTGAGCAAGTGAAAGAAGTAAACGCGCGTGAAAATCGTCCCCCATTGGGGATTTTCAGGCACGCTAGTGTATATCACACGCTCAACTATGCTTGAGGAAATATAGAGGCTATTTGTAGTCTATCTCGCGAACATTAACATAAAACAACTTAGGACCTGTTCTTATGAGGTCTTGGTTAACCAAGATCTTGGGCTCAAATTTTTCCTTTGTATGAGTACGTTCTTGAGCCACGCATGGGTCTCTCTTTAGTGAATATTTCACAAGTAATGGTTAATCCTTTCGCTCCTTTATTTGTCGAAAGAGCGCGTTTTGAAGCTAGTCGAGCCGTTTCCTGGTCAATTTTGGACTATAAACTGGCAAAAATGCCCGTAAAGTTCGGGCATGCGCGGAATGCAAAATCTCGTAACACAGCAGTCTCGACGTTTACCTTTCGTTTGTCTCTTCCCTTTTTTTTTGCATTTCTTTTTTTTTTTCTTTTGCTGCAAAAGACCATTTTACAGTTTGTGGACTTGGTACCCTAACCTTCGAGTGAATGTGAGGCTGAGGTTGACGTTGTTTTGATACAAACGTCCTTTGCTTTGTTATGGAAATTGTTTTTGAAAAATACTAGTTAGCATAAGAACAACTTGATTTACATAATAAAGCAGGAAGGTTTATATCAAAACAAGGTCACCTCCAGCCTTGCTTCCATCCACAACTGTAAAATGGCCTATTTACTCACTTCATATCGGTGAGCAACGTTCTTGGTACACCTTGTAGGATCTTAGGATTAGTTGGAATTTTCCGGTCAACGTTACAACGTTTTATCATTTAAACCGCTAATTTGTTACACGGTTGACTTTTTTATACGACATAAATATCCGGAAAAACATAGAACAAACAATTTTGTCGTCATTTTGACCTTAACAGTCTTAACATGCTAAATTTCGTGTACTTTCGGTTAGGTGATATTTACTTCCGGTCAAAATGGCGGCCATTTTAGTAATAACGCCAAAAACCGGTTTAACAGGAAACATTTGCGATGGCACCATATCACATATTAATAGCCACGATTAGCTTATATAATAAACAATTTCATGGTCATTTTGGCTTTAAAAAAAATGCTTAATTTTGTGTACTTTAGGTTAGATGATATTTACTTCCGGTCAAAATGGCGGCCAGTTTAATTTTCACTCCAAAAACCAGTTTAACAGGAAAAATTTGCGATGGCACCATATCACATATTAATAGTCATAATTAGTTCTGTCATTCCTGAAAATTTGGTGCTTTTAACAAAAAGTGAACAATCCGGCCCCAAATCTGCACATATCCGCCCCACTATTAAGTCAGTTTAAATGCCAACAGCTTCCTTTTAGTAATGTTGTTTTATTTTGAACCATCAGTGCCTCCGGAGATTATTTCCCGAGGTAGTCAGACCACGGAAGCATACAACAGAGCCCTTCTGGAAGGAAGAGGTTACGCCAGAAGAGTACCCGTCATGATAATTGGCCAGGAACGGACAGGGAAGACCAGTCTAAAGAGGTCTTTGAAAGGGGAATTGTTCAATCCAAATGAAGGAAGCACGAAAGGAATAGAGACCGATCCGTCGTATTTTAAAGTGTCGACAGACTTTTGGAGGACAGGCAAGAAAAGCGAACGGAAGATACCGAACCAGAGCCAACGTTTTCGTTTGAGCACCAGGTAGCCCAGCTGATAGTTGAAAGCTTAAAGAAAGGAGTCTCAAACAGCCCCGAGGCTGAATCAACAGAAATAATGGAGAACATTATGACCGGACTGACCAAACTAGTCCAGGAAGCCACAGCCGACTCAGAAGATCCTAGAACTAAAAGGATGGACTCAACGCTTGAAAACTCCCAAGATCATCTGCGTGTGCCAAAGCTACCAGAAGATATAGCGACATTGGTTCAGAGGCTCCTGGAATTCAATAACGATGAAGACGACATATATTCCATCATATGGGACTTTGGAGGACAGTCTGTTTACTATGATACCCATCCAATTTTTCTGACAAAAAAAGCCATCTATATTTTGACGTGTGATCTGAGTCATGATCCAAATCAGAAAGCCAACGCCCCTACGAAGAAAGGCATGTCTGGGAAAAAAGAAGACACTTGCTGTAGCAAAACAAATCTCGATTATCTTAATTTTTGGATGTCATCAGTCTATTCTTTGGTTTGTCCGAATACAATTCGTCAGGAAACACTGGCACCTGAAATGTTACCTCCGGTGTTCTTGGTGTGTACACATGCTGACGAGCCCTACCGCACCGATAAGATCCCTGGAGATCTCGCCAGCGAAATCTACGGTTCTCTAAAAGAAAAAGTTTATGGAAAACTTCTGAAAGGCCTTTTTGTTGTAGACAACACCAAGTCAGGAAGTGGTGATGAGTGTCGAGGCGTAATAAAACTACGGGAAAAAGTACTTTCTTTTGCCAAAGAGCTTCCACAAATGAAAGAGGCAATTCCACTAAAGTGGTTAAAGTATGAAAAGGAACTGCATCTTTGGAGCGAGCGTCGCGAGTGGATACCCATTGAGGAAGCAGGGCAGATTGCTAAAAAAGAATGTGGAATTGACGACGATGTTCAGTTTCGAACACTTTTAAACTTTTTACACGATCAGAGAGTTTTTATTCATTTTAGTGAATCACCAGAATTAGAAAACATGGTCATTTTGCGCCCACAGTGGCTCATAGACATATTCAAGGAGGTTATCACCGTTAAAAGTTGGCAGGACGTGGATGAAAACTTTGAGCAACTATGGTGTAATTTGGAGAAAAATGGAATCTTGGATGAAAAGCTTTTAGATCATGCATGGAGGCATTTGCTTGATAAGCAAGAACCAACCTACAAGAGCACCCTCATTGCAATAATGGAGAGATTTAATCTGCTTTGTCCATGGCCATCAGACGGAACCACCAAGCAGTACCTTGTACCATCCATGTTAATGTCTCCCCCTACAGAGGATGTCCTTAAGCATCTTGATTGTGTACGGATTCCTTCACTTTTTGTTGTGTTCAATTCAGGGAGAGTGCCCCCAGGCTTGTTCTCGCGACTTCTCCTGCTGTTTCATCGGTTTTGTCAAGAGGAATGGAAGAGCGAAATCAATCCTGAATTGTTCAATAATTTTGCCGTTTCACATTATTCCTGATCGTGCAATTTCCATTGTCATGATATTGCATTCTTCGTCTATCGAAGTCGTTTTTCACGATGGAAGTGATTCTCGTGATCTGAATACAAGTCGAGCCATCTACTCGCAGCTGAAATGTCTTCTTGAAGACATTCGCAAGGAATCATTCTGGTTAAAGGACATGAAGTACGAAATGAGCATCTGCTGCCCTGTGTGTTCTCAAAAAGATAGCAGATGCCGTGCTCATGATGTGCGTGGTTGCGAGTGCTTGCACTTGTTGTCAGAGTTAAAGTTACGTGATCGTCCGTATTGCAACAAGCCTGGCATTCGTGGAGATCCAACAATTAATATTAAAACATTTGAACACTGGTTTGCACTGTCAGAAGCTCAAGGCAGCAGTACTCCACTCAGTCAGGTTGGTTCCTGAAAAATTAAGTTTCCTGAGACACGCTTGGCTTATTTCAGTTGCATAAAATTATCATATGATAAGATTGCTGTTTTTTTTTTCGGGCTAACCTAAGAGTATAATTGCGGCAAGGAATGTGCACTACTGTAGCTTTACTTACTTTGTCTAAACAGAATACTGACTTGATGTACGTAAGATCTTAGACGTAGATGATGGTGGTTATTATTATTATTATTATTATTATTATTATTATTATTATTATCATCATTATTATTGTTATTATTATTATTATTGTTATTATTATTATTATTATCATTGTTATTATCGTTTATTATTGAATATGGCGATAATAATATTAATGTAGAAATGATGAGGATAGAAAATTTGCAGTGCGCAGTTTGCGTATACTTAGATATGCTTAAATACGTAGATCGATTTATTGCACTGGTGGGAATTCAACACACAACATCGCAGAGATCAGTTAATCATAATTTTTTTTATACATTACCTAGCTGCTTGAAATGTTGACTGTAGCAGATTGCGTAGCCTGTGAGAGCAGACACCTTTTTGGCTCTAATAAAAGTATTGTATGTGTCGGTTAATTATTAACAAACTCCATTCAGGTTACACCTGACAGAGGTCCCACTGTCTTTGAAAACGATAGACAGAGAAGGGGAGACATCTGAGATCACTGTTTGGAATTTGATAGAGGCTTGACTGGAGGTGCATTACCGAAGCCATTATTCATAGTTCTTATGATTTAAAGTCATTTTCTTCATCTGTATCTTTACAGCATCAAGATGTGACTCAACGTGACAACAGCGGAGAACACCGCATAACTCCAAAGGAAGGTAAGCCCATTTATTGTTGTTGCTTCTGTTGTTGTTGCTATCATAATACACAGTATACAGGTGTCGTCGAAAATAAGCCAATGTAGTCTTGAAGGAAAAATGCGGCTGGTTAGAAATTAATTAACTTAAAGAAAAACCGCATACTAGTATTCGATTAGTTTTTTCCCGCGCGATTTACAGTGTAGCTCTGATGCCAAATGATTGTACGGTTTGTAGCCATCTTGGACCGGCTGGATTGCTGGCTGGCACATTTTTCCTCGATCTCAATGGATAAGTTTTCTCGACCGGAGACTGGTCTCTGGTATTTTGGTGACTCGCTTGTTGACTACAGATGAAATGTTGGCGAGGTTTTGTTCACAAAGAGTTGGTTTATTGTTTTTTACTCTCAGTTATTGATGTTCCGTTTATTTCAGTTCCCTTCATAGAAAATGCTCCATTCTAAGATAGTCAGATATCCTGGTATTATGTCAACAACGTGTTCGGCACGCTGTATTTTAGATAAGCCTCATCAGCTTATGACCGACGGTTAATATTAGCCTCCGCAATATGTTTTGTATTATTATTTTTTTAAATTTATCTTGCAATCAGATCAGGTTCTTGTCATTCGTTTTATGTATGGCGTTAAAAAAGTTGTAGTTTGTGAATCAAAAATCAAAAGAATGTGGAAACATTTACTTCCCCTCCTCCTTTGCCTTATCACCCCTCCCTGTCGAATGCACCCCCCTAATTTGCATTCATTTATTTATTTACGTACAAGACTTTTACAAAGCAAAAACAAAAACAATGGCGAGAGTTTAAGTGTGCCTTGGCTAAATCTTACGACGTTAATTCTTTCAATCTGTCCCAAGTGTTGCGCTGTACATAATGTTGTGACAATGGTCTTAGCGAAAGTTGCGACTGTTTAACACCCCTTTCGACGTTGTTGCAAGATCTTGGGAAGAGTTTAAACCCGTTTGAATTTCGTCATAACCGGAGATCAGGCCGAATTTTGGCAGCTCTTTTGTTGTCCCTGGCATTTTTTTTACCGAGCAAAACGAAAATCGAGTCTGAACTCAACTTAACTTTGTCACAAAATCGCCGTAACATTTTTTTGTCTCCAAATGTTGAACTTGCTAGATGTAAAGCATCTTTTGTAACTATTGTTCAACTCGTCCATGCGCAAGGTAGCTAATAAACATGTTTTTCAATAAATGCGACTATTTATTTGTAACGGCTGTGAGAAAATTTTGGCTGCTATGTTTAGTAACAACATTGTTATTTATCATTCTAACAATACTCATTGTTTTGTTTTTGTTTTTGTTTGTTTTGTTTTTTTTTTGGCAGAAACTGTATCGGAAAGATCTGCCTCTGATCCACCAGAAGTCATCATTAATCAGCTTAAGAATCGGGATCTTCCGAAAAGAGCGACACATCTTGATGTCAGCCGCCTACCAGTCGACGTTTTGTTACCGTGTGAAGAGATAATTTATTGTTATTCAGTTATTTTGCTTTCGCTGGTGAAAATAGGAAAAGCCAATGTAGAAATCATTTATTCTTTAGTCTTAACTTCTTTTAGTCGTAAACAACCTGTTGATCTATTGAGCGTAAACTTATTTGTCAAGTCATAATTGTATTTAGTCTTCAAACTGTAATCAACCTGTAAGAAGCCGTTATCCACCTGTGTAGCTTTTGGAAGTAATTAATGTTTCAAAACAAGCTTAGGTTTCCACCAATAGTCTTGTAGAAATGATTGTTGTGCTCTGTAATTTGACTCGTTGAGTTGTGATGTAATCTGTATCGCTTCGCTAGCTTAGGCTTAAATGCGAGTGCTTTGTAGGAGCTTCTTTGGTTACATCCAGGTCCATCTAGTCCTGGTTACATCCAGGATCATCTAGTCTTCGTTACATTTTGGTTGGTTGTGTTCCTGACTCTACCCGCAGTATAGTCTTGGATTAAACTTCTACGTTGGACCCAAGTTCTGTTGTGATCATTGTCTCAAGGGTATTCAGCAGGCGTAAGAGATTCCGTGCCTTCCCGCAGCCAGCGAGTGTCCCCAGGAAAAGGCCTTTCCCAGAGAATTTTAGAGTTTTTCCCCGTCCGTCAGTTTACCCTTTTGTGAAGGCAAAACCTGTTTCCACACTGGTGTTAAAGTGAAAAATAGTGTTTTCACACTGGTCGAGAAGAGTGGCAATTACGCAAGGAATACCAGAGGCAAAGAAACCTTACAGAACAGGATGTAACCCCTTGGAGCAAGAGAGTACGCCCAAGTAAGTCAATTTAACTTGATGCCGAAGTTTTTCTCAAGAAGAAAAGAACCTTACAACCTAAGGAGCCGGAGTAAGAACCAAAGTTGTACTCCGAAGTCGAAAGTAGACGCCTGCGTCGAGTGCGATTTGCCTTTCGACGAATCAAAAATAGCCCCAGAATTGAGGCGTGGGCCAGTTGTTAAAGAAGGAACTAGTTCAGAACCGTTAGAACCTTCTCACAAAAACTCTGTGAGGTTTAACACGACCAACTTGGAACCCGTGGATATTAGTGTAGATTCCGATAGCGACGACAGTCTTAGTGCTTTGGACCTACGGCGCCTCAGAGCTCTCGTAGAATCTGAGGAAGAACTTTCTTCAGAAAACGAGAGAGAAAAAGAAAAAGAAAAAGAGAACTTTACGGATAGCATTTTTGCAACAGGTAGTCAACAGGTACCCGCGAGTTCGTCACCTGCTACTGGTAGTACGTCGCCTCCCAGTAATACAATACCACCTACAACCACACCTGTGGATCCTACAGTAATTGAACAACCAGAAGTGTTAAATACTACACCAATTGTTCCCGATAACGCTGCTGGTGGACAACCGTTACCAAATATTAATTCACCTGCTGATATTTACGAACACTTTTCCCGGAGGGTAGACTACAGAGATAACTTCAAAACGGGAACGCCTCCGAGTAGTAATTTGACTGGATCGCATGATAAGACTGATAGAACTCCTGACGACTCTAGTGATAACAGTGAATGCGAATCAGCCTTACCAGCTACAAATACAGAGAGTTGTAACACGTGCGACGCTACAGGTATCATGCAAGCAGAGGAGTTAACTAGATTGCAAGACCAAGTAATTGCATTACAACAAGAACTTAAATCACAACAAGAGAAAGCTCATGTCTTTCGTACAAAAACTATCAGTGCCTTTGAGCAAACTCCGATTCCGGATGTATCCAGTCCGCACAGACCGACCGCATTTCACGGCTTTGACTCCGAGGATATCAATCGATGGCTGGATAAGGTGGAAAATTATTTGACACTACGCCGGATAGATACATCCACTCCTACCGCTTTGGCAGAACTTGTACTGAATCTTGCGGGGCCAGCTGAGGACTTTTATTATTCCCTACCTGGGGATTGTAAGGATACCTTTACTAAGCTGCGTGATGCCTTGAAGGAGAGATTCGCAAACGAGAACCAGAGCTGGATTATTTGGCAGGCAATTACTACCCGCCAGCAGGGACCTGTGGAGCCACTTGACACCTATTTAACTGATTTGACCGGAAAGTTTCGTCGAATCAACATTTCAGATGCCGATAAGATGCGTTATTTTGTTCAAGGGCTAAGGGCTGATTTGAGAGAAACTGTTTTGCTAAAACAACCAAAGACTTTCCGGGAAGCGGAAGAAATGGCCCGCCTCGCATCCGCAGTTAAAACCACGATGAGCAATTCTAATGAAACCGTTACGATACAATTACATAATTTAACGAAGACTTTGAACACTCTGGTGGCCAATAGTAACAGCCCAGTGAGTACAAATCAACAACAGTCGCTTCACACCCAGGTCGAAACCTTGACACAAAAAGTGAATTCACTCATGCCTACAGTTACGAAGTCAGATAAAGTTGCCGCTTATTCAGAGCCACAGGTGGATTTCCAAAGTAAGATTGAGGACCTTACTAAACTTGTGAAACGCATGGAAGGTAACTTTCAGGATCAAATTGCCAGTTTGGATAAGAGGATGGACGCACGCATCACTGGCCTCGCACAACGTCAGCGAGAGACTCGTAATACTAGGGAGCGATCAAGAGATGGCCGCCCTTATTGTTATGTATGTGGTTTGCCTGGCCATTATCAAAACAGTTGTCCACGACGGAACAACCGTGAACGTGACCGCACGCCAGTGCCCAGGTACGCGCTACCTGCTCCTGATAATTACACACGATATTCAAGTGGCCCTCAAGCACGACAGCGAGCCTTACCACCGCCGCCACATCAAAGCCGAATAGCTGCCTTTCAGGACAGTACTCCAACCTCTTCCAGCCAGCCGGAGTTGCCTATATACGACTCTCCCAAATATGACTCCTTTGATTGGGATTATTATTATGGTGACTTTAACGATGATGATTTCTATGGACATTGGGATTATTACTACGATTATGAACCAGAAACCGAGGCGAGCAATAATGTAGACGAGTTAGATGGAGTATATGAAGAAACACCGCCAACAAGTGTCTCTACCTTGGTCGAGAATTTACACAGTACAGTAACCACTGACCAGCTGTTATTGCCTCCTTTTCCGTTTCAAGATCCCTGTCCTTCTTCGTGGCCATCCAAAGCTGCTGGTTTGTTACTTGAAGAAACACGGGCTGCGCCTAATCCGTTGACTGAGTTGTCGCTTGCCAACTTTGGAAAGAATCCTGAACAGCCTCAACAAGGACCAATACCGAGTGCCACACCTCAATTAGATGCAGGTATGAGTAGCTTGCCGCCATTCACTGATAAAGTAGACCAGTTAGCAGACAGCTTTGAGATGGGAACTGAATTTGATCCACCCGTCCCAGCCACTAATCCGGTGCCGACTGCAACAGCCATACGTAGTAAGACTGCTGACACTACAATTCTGGGACACTATCCTCCAGCTGATCATGAGCCAAAGGAAGAACCAGCCATGACCTACCAGCCAGCAACAGTTGATATCTTGCCACCCCCATACCCAGGTGACGTTGGAGTAGATCCTACTCAGTATTTTGGAACTAACTATCCCAAACCAGCGTTAGCAGGTTACAATAAAGTAGCTCCTAGGAAGGCTCAGCCACAGACCAAAGAGGTAAAGCAGAAGTCAACAGCCATTGCTTATAGTACCCTGAACGCTGATAACCACGTTACAGGAGATTCCAGCCGATCTCGCCATGAAGACCTTCCCACAGAGAGCCCAACCGCTATGCACTCTGGGGAGAAGACGAGCAACTCAGTTTCGGCTCAAAATGTCAGAGAAATGGTCACGACTCAAGTCAGTAAACAGGTGAAACCCTTAACCAATCAGGAAACAGACAGAACTACAAAGCTAGAACAGAACTACCATGTAGCTCCCAAAGCGATACCGAGTGACCAATCAAGTTTCCCTTGCCCTGAGATTAGACAGTCAAATCCTGATACTGGACAACCAGGTAGTAACCACTCTCTACGAGCGCAGATAGTTTCAACAGAGCCGAAAACCAAAAGAGCAACTCATTCTCAGCTTCATAATGATTACCAGCACGAACTTAAGGACCAGCTAACTAAAGTTATAAAGGATTTGGAAGGAAATCTGTTGAACAAGATTACAATTTTGGAACGACGCTTGGGAGGAAACTCAAGACACAGTAAGGTACAACCATGGAAAAGGACTTGCTTTTACTGTGGAATGGTTGGCCACATTCAGATCAACTGCCCTCATCGTAGTTGCCAACAAGGGTCCTATAATTATAAAGTACTTCACAAGCCAGAGCGAATCCCGCATCAAGCCCCTACGTTTCAGCCGGCATACACAGCCAGAGACAAACCTCGTTGCCAAGATTCAGGAGAGGAACCATATGACGTCAACCACAACTCGACAAAAGTTGGAGTTATCCTGGACCAGCCAAAGGAAGTACTTAAATTGGGCCACCTAAGTTCAGTTGCAGCGAACAGCTTCAAGCAAACAAGTTTCCAGATACCCAATGTGCCACCCAACTGTAGAAATCTTTTAAATTCCCAGGAACAAGAGAAACCTAAGTACCAGCAGAATACCCTTATTTCCTCTAGTCAAACGCCTGGTGAAAGAATCCGCAACCAACAAGTCGCAAGAAGTTGTACAGAAAAGTCTCCGTCTCAAAAGTTGACCAAGACAAAGATTTTAACAGAAACTGACAGTGAAGAAATTAAGGATAGCAACATGATGATAACCGGCGATATAGCAGGTCAGAACGTTAATTTTCTTTTGGATACCGGTGCTTGTGCCTCCATTATTGACGAGAAGCTACTATACAAGATTTATGATCAAGGAGCAACAATATTGACAAATGGATCGGTTCAGTTTGTTGAGACAATCACAGGACAAAAAGTACCATTGTTGGGAAAAGTCGAAATTCCTGTCGAAATCAATGGTGTTCTCTATCCCAGCTGTTTTCAAGTGGTACAGGGTCTTTGTCACGAAGCCATACTTGGGCAAGATTTCTTGCAAGCATACGGTGCAGTTATAGATTTCAAGAACAAACGTGTGAAATTAGAAGATACTTCCTTGCACTTCAAGGAAATGTCAAGAACGACTGAAGAATGTATTATCCCCACATACGCCCTCAGGTTTAGGAGAAATCAACGTTCAGCGACTATCCAAGCATCGCAGTCCAGCAAGACGCCCACTATTATCAAAAACGCGGTGAAGCTTCAGAAGGCAGGCAAATCGGCAACGTTGCAGCCCAAAATTTCATTTATGTTCGAGAAGTTTATTTCCTGGTTCATGCTACTAGTGCTCTTTCACCTGTGTTTTGCTTCACAAGCTCATAATTTACCTCCAGTGCAACTAACAACTCAAAAGCTCCACAACATGCACGACTACCGCCAGTCTGCAGAGAAAGAATTGTTTCCATCTCCTAAAAATGATGGCAGATTGACGACCGAAACTCATACCCATAATTGGCATCAACCAGTATCTTCCACAAAGTTCAAGCACAATTTTCCGTTGCTGAATGATGACCCTCTCGACGACTTAATACCGAAGGATCTCACCAGTAAATGACAATGGCCATCCACTAACAGAGAGCACGACTTTAAGAAGAGGAAATAGTTAGTGTGTAATTTCTAAGAGTCCAAGAGATATGGGATAGAATAACGAATACACCGCTGAGTAATTTATAATCAATTAATATAAATCCGTCCAAGCCAGAGATAAGGCTCGAATAAGAAGAAACATAATAAGAAGTTAAAATAAACAGAATCGAAGATCGAGAATTGAGAAGTACTAAATGAGAGTTTCAAGTAACCTTAAGTGTGAGAGTTTTAAGCTAAGAAACGAGAGTTTGAAACGCATATAATAATCTTTTAGTAGTTTCGCTGAGTAAGAATGCATGTAAGTAATTTCCCTCAAAAGGCGCATATTTTGAGGTACGTTAATCTTCACATAGATCAGCTTTTATTTTCATTTGAACCCCCGAGGCCACTATATTTAGGCTAGTTCGGTTTATGCCGCGGTTCAGGCACAAAAACAAATACAAAATTTTCAAAAACCAGAAAATCAAATATAAAATTTCAACATAAACGTAAGTTTTAATATTTTCAATTCGCTGTGCTTCTTCTTAAGTTTTCTCGTATATTTTTGATCGTTTTTTTTCCTCTAATCAGCTGAGGACAGCTGAGACTTAAGGTGGGAGGAATGTGAAGAGATAATTTATTGTTATTCAGTTATTTTGCTTTCGCTGGTGAAAATAGGAAAAGCCAATGTAGAAATTATTTATTCTTTAGTCTTAACTTCTTTTAGTCGTAAACAACCTGTTGATCTATTGAGCGTAAACTTATTTGTCAAGTCATAATTGTATTTAGTCTTCAAACTGTAATCAACCTGTAAGAAGCCGTTATCCACCTGTGTAGCTTTTGGAAGTAATTAATGTTTCAAAACAAGCTTAGGTTTCCACCAATAGTCTTGTAGAAATGATTGTTGTGCTCTGTAATTTGACTCGTTGAGTTGTGATGTAATCTGTATCGCTTCGCTAGCTTAGGCTTAAATGCGAGTGCTTTGTAGGAGCTTCTTTGGTTACATCCAGGTCCATCTAGTCCTGGTTACATCCAGGATCATCTAGTCTTCGTTACATTTTGGTTGGTTGTGTTCCTGACTCTACCCGCAGTATAGTCTTGGATTAAACTTCTACGTTGGACCCAAGTTCTGTTGTGATCATTGTCTCAAGGGTATTCAGCAGGCGTAAGAGATTCCGTGCCTTCCCGCAGCCAGCGAGTGTCCCCAGGAAAAGGCCTTTCCCAGAGAATTTTAGAGTTTTTCCCCGTCCGTCAGTTTACCCTTTTGTGAAGGCAAAACCTGTTTCCACACTGGTGTTAAAGTGAAAAACGTGTTTTCACAACCGACAGTCGAGGATTGTGAATTTCTAAGCTGTCTGTCCTTTCTGAATCCCGGTTTTTGTAGGAATTTTCACAGAGATCTTGCTTACGTGTACCTCGGAGATATGGGAAAAGATGAAAGGAAGCTAAACGTTGCTGTAATGAACTGCTACAGGGGTTCTGCCTCTGCAGGAGGATCCACGGTTGTTGTATTAAACGCTGTGAAAGTCTTGAGGCCCAAAGCAGTGTTCTGTGTGGGCTTCTGTAGGAGCTTAGACTGTAATAAAGTTAAACTTGGAGACGTAGTAATTTTAGAGAAGTTAATAACATATGGCCCGTGCAAAATCACAGAGGGTGGCATTGACGAACGCGGAGTTAAAGTTCAATTGAAGTCCGGTCTTTCGAAGGTGATGTTAAGGGCTGGTGACGGCTGGCAGCCACATTTGAAAGATTTAAACGCACGCGAAGTGGAGATACATCGTGGCGCGTTTCTGAGTGGAGCTGAGGAAGTTGTCGATAGAAAACGATGTGAAGCACTCATCGAAAGATTTCCAGAAGTGGTCGCTATAGAAAGAGAAGGTGAAGGTAAGCTTTTTTGGCCAGTTCATATTTTAACAGAGTGTTCATGAACTCGGTTAGTAAAATCTAAACGATTGTCTACGTCCTTGGAATTAATTCCTTGTTAGAGAACTTTATTTAACGAGACATCTTCAAATTACAATCTTCAAGAATCCTAACTGTCAATTTTTTATTTAGTCACCATTATTTTGTTGTCTGTGTTATTGCCATTTGCGTATTGATGCCTTCTAATCAATGTTAAAGTGAAGTTGTCTTTTGAACCTAATAAACCTGACTTTTTCCGCGGCTATCTGCATGCGTGAGCTCAAAACTTCACTTCTCTCCATTTACTATGATTCTTCACTTTCAGGTGTGTATACAGCAGCGCATGACCTGGACATTGAGTGGACTGTTATTAAAGGAATTTCAGGCTACGCGGATGGCAGAAATGAGTCCAATTCCTGGAGACCGTTCGCAAGTTTAATGGCAGCTTCCCTTATGGCTCATATTCTCAGTGATGCAATTCCCTTTCAAGACATGCCACACTACAGAAATGAGAGTAAGTATTGGGCATGCATACATATTTCTCATAACCTCTCTCATCGTCCCAGTAGTGCAGCTGTTATTAAAAGCATTAGTTCCAAGCAGTCTGAATCTTGATTTTGCTGCCGGAGGTGGCGTAGCTAACAAAATGTTTTGTTCTAATAATGCAACGTTGTTATGTATTAGATACGTTAAATATACACAGTGTTAGAGTTATTAAAGGTAAAATCACTTCTCTTTATTCAAAACGATGCCATTTTATTTTTATTGCTTGTAGCTGAAGAAAGAGGTGAAAGGCGCATATCATGCAAGAGGCGTAAGAAAGTGGGTAATTCAGGTAGGAAGACAAGGCTTTTTGCTGAGTATATTTTTTCATTTATTTACAAACTTCACCAAAAGGCTTGGAATTCCTCTACGTGGTCCAAAAAAAATGAACAACAACAAAATAAAAAAACAGAAGATCGTCCCGGGGTTAACCGCAAAACAATTGTGTTTAAGTAAGCATTTTTTATTGTAAAGTTAACTGAATTTAGTTCGCTTCTTGGAGGCAAAGTTTTGGGTAGTTTTGATTAATTTTCATCAGAAATAAGCCATAAAAAGGAAAAGGCCCAAGTAGTTTAAAGCAGCAGTCTTCAAAAGTACAATCAAATTAAATTAATTAATTAGGCAAGCTTCGGAGATGGCGATTTGGTTTAAATGTGGGTGAGATAAACTTATTGATTTTATAACAGTTCTGGGTGTTAAGGGCAAGGAAAATCCCCATTACATAAACTGCAAGTGAATCGACCTTTGTTGGGAAGATGCTGCAGTTGGGCAGAATAATATCCGATGTGCAGTTTCTATATTTTTAACGAAAGTTTTCCTTTGTTTTCTGGTCAAAAGGTGAGAGAAGGAAAAAGCAAAGGAAAGGAAAGTAAACCAAAACCAGCATGGCGGACAACAAATGTTCCCTGCCCTGTCAGTAGCTCAAGGTCAGAATCAGAACACGATGTTTTTTTATGTATATACTCCTCTTATGTAACAGAAAGTGGGCGTGTTTGGTACTTGTTTGGTATCAGTTTATTGGACAATTGACCATTGACAATTTTTCTATGAATTTATATCTGTCTGAAATTTTGAAAATGTTTCCTTATCGTTAACAAACACCCAGGAACAGTAATGAGGTAGAAAGAGAAGAAAAAAAGTGATTTTCCTTTTAACAGCAGAACTTTTCCACTTTGCAGGTGTGTAGTTATCCTTGGATGTCCAGCTCATAACCATGATGGCCACGTTGCAGCAGAAAACAATTGTCTGCCACGTCATCGTGACGGAGCTATTGACCCACAGCGAGATACTGTTGGTAGAGACCGCTTTGTAATGGGAAACGTGTATATATAAGCTATCTTAGTTTGATTCTACGTTTTCATCTGATCTGTAAGGGTCTGGGAAACATTCGGTGACCGGTCTGCGTCCTTTCGCAGACATTTGAAAACATTTTGGCCCTGGCGTCAGCTGGGTGGTCAGCAGCATACGGTCTGTGTGATCGGAAGGGTACTAGACCGTTGTCGGATTCCTGGTCGTCCTGACCGCCATTCGGTCTGTGGAAAGGCCTAGTCGTCCGTGTAATTGCTTAAAAGTTTATAATCATTGAACAGTGAGAATTATTTTTGCAAAGGTTCAAGGATAGACAGTCAGCAAGCGGCTTTATTTTTGTTCGTTGTAGATTAGTTAGCGACCTTACGATCTGACAACGGCGACGCCACTGAAAACGTCACTGGAAAACTGTGTTCACCTGCATTAAAACTTTTTCGCGATTATTCCAACTCGTTCTGCCTTTTAAAAGTTGGTAGATTAAGATGGAGCTGAACAGAGAGGACCGTGTCTAAGCTCAGGTGATACATTAGAATTTATCGCCCTGGGCCCAGTTGTTCGAAGGCCGATTAGCGCTTAACCTGGGGTTAAATTTAACCCTGGTTTCTTTTTCTTGTGCTCAAAAGCCTTTTCTTGGATAATTTTCTCTGTTATTTTTAGAGCTTGCAATCATCAACCTGTAGACAAAAAGAATTAAAACTGAAATGCTTTTTAAGCTTTCAAATCTGAATTCAATTCTCGCACTAACCCTGGGTTATCTTAACCCAGCTTTGAACAACTCGGCCCTGTAGTTCACCTTCTGAAGATGACTATTTTAAAAATTTTGTCCCATTTGTGTAAGGACTCTTGAGGTGTGGTAAAACGGGTAACAAAAAAGGTGCAAACTCTTTTGCAACTTTGCTGCAAATCGAGTTGAATAGCGATGTTGCGCGTTTTACCATCCACGAAAGAGAGCCTTGCAACCTTATTTTTTGCAAGACAGGTTCGAACGTGGGTGGTAAAATGCGCAACATCGCTATATTCAACTCGTTTTGCAACAATGTTGGAAAACAAGTTGCACGTTTTTTGTTGTTCCGAAAATAAATTGTAGATCGCAAATCGTCTTCCGAACAGATATTTTCCGAAAATTGTCGTTGGGTGCCCCTGACCAGTTTCCAAGTTCTCAAAAACCACTCTGTCTAGACATATGAAGACCTTACAACTTTCTTCTATATGAGAAATATTTTGAAATTTCATAAGTGAAAGGCCAAGACAAACCCTACAACACAACAGTTAATATTGATTAATCAAATACAAAAAAATACTAAATTTCCACTTGATTAAAGGCAACCGTCAAAAGCTCTAAAATTTAACCGTCAAAATTGAAAAAAATAACCATCAACTCATTGTTCTCCTTATCAGGCGGTAACGGGTATAATTTACCGACTGAAGCAACACTTCTTACCACCTTCAGCCGCTTGAAGGTTTAATAAAATTGAATAAGTTGTTTTAAAAATACGCAAGTTGTGATCCGATCCGATCAAGGTAATCAATGAATATATGGTTTGTAATATAGTACATATGTGATAACTCAATGGGTGCGGCATTACCAAATAGAGGTGTAATTGCTCGAAGTGAGATTTTGTTCAACTATTTTACTTACAAATTTGGAACAACTATAGCAAACAAACAGTTTGCACTGCACACATTTATTATAGTAAGCATAGGTTGTACTGTACAAGCGCTTCAAAAGCACGTTATTCCAGCATACTATTCTTTTATTTCTCACGGCCGTACCAGACAAAGTAATTCTTTCAACCTTAAAACTCCTCTTTTCTGAACCAGTACTTTTAAGGCTTCATATTTTAATCGTATCACTAACTTATGGAATTTTGGCTGTTCACTTAAGTCCTCCAGTAGTTTCTCTAGTCCGAAATCTTTTAAGCAGTTTGTCCATCAACCTATTTAAGTTCTCCTCTCTAGTTAATACCCGTGACGTGGAAAGATTTTGCACATCGACGTTAGTGATGACCCGGTCCTGTCACAGGTCAAAGTGACTGTGCCTACCGCATCCACTTTTTGGTATTTTCTTTTCTTTTCTTTTTTTTTTTTCACTTTTTTTGTTAACGTACATCTAGGGGTTTGAATTCGATTTTTTTTTCAAGGACGAAAAGTTACATCTAGCTTCGGGGCCGTGGTATGCATTGGTCTAGTGTCCCATTTGCACTTGCCCTTTTGGAAATCCGCAATAGTTTTTTGTGGAGACGCCGTTTTTGTTTCGCTAGTATATTGTTTTTGGCACTTTTACATTCAATCAGGTATATCAGATATTTCGAAAGGCAGGTTCTATAAAAAAAAAAACTTCCTTGCCTTTTTTTATCAGAGTTTCCCCTTAAGTTGAAGAGACCCTACTGTTTAAAATAAAAATTCGTTTATTTAAGAAGAAATATAAATTATAACATAACACAAGTAAATCGCGCGCTCTGATTGGTCAGTCAGCCACTACCATTTGTCCGTGGGTGCACGCCAAGAAACTGAGCTAGCGCGGTAAAATTTAGGCAAATTCAACAAATCTCCTCTGCTGACGGTAAAATACACCAATGAAATGCACAGATGAAAAGTGGAAGTTGAAGAAAATACTAAGCTGTCGTTTTGAAGGAAAAAAAGACAAAAGATCAAGCGACAAATTTGCCCTGGATGAATGAATCACTGTTTTCCTCGCGCTAGAATCGGCTGAAGGAAAATCGAGCGAGCGAAGATTTAAGGTTCATTTTGTGTGTTTTTTTATAGAAGAGAACTCTATTTGAAATGTAAATTTATCAATTAGCATTGTGTTATTGACTTTGTGATCAAGCTGATGCTAAATTCAAGCAAATATTTTAGGAAACACGCTCAAATTCTAGACAGCTTTGTTGTGAAGTTTTCATCGCATCGATTAAAAATTTTAGTTGAGTTTAAACGGGTACATTACGCTGGAATAAGCGAATTTCATTTGAGTACAGAAACATTTGGGTTTTCTAATAAATTTTTCAAAAAATAAATTCTGTGTGTATTATTTTGTTCCTCAGTGTTCATTCATAACAGTCGTTCAGAGAACGGTCTAAAAACAAAAGCTTCAGCGCCGGCTGTGTGTCGGCGAATTTCAGTTGCAACTTTGACTTTCATAGCTGGATTTCCCCAGACAGATTTCGATACAAAGCTAGTTAATTTCTTTTTGAAATTAGTGATACCTTTTATCCTTAAGGAATTACGGTCAAATTTTCTCATTTCTACTTTACGTTTATTTCAAAAATTGTCACATAAATAAGCTTGATAATTATTTCATTTATTTAGTTTTAGCTTAGTTTTTAGTCTTTTTGTTTCTAGTTGCAGCTATAGTTTTCCCTCAAAGTTTTTACCCTAATATTAAGAGCAAGTAGACAGATGCCATTCAGAATAACAACGAAAAACGTTTTTGCAATTTACCTGAAGACGGAGAACGGTTGATTCAGCGAAAGAAAAACTCAAAGGCAAGTTTTTGAAAAACATAGAACGTGATTTGTTTACGCGCGGGCAGATGGCAGCATACATGAACTAGAACCGATGACTCAACTGAAGCAAATGGAGAATAATGTTTTTCTCTTTTGATTATGTTATAAAAGAAATGGTAAACGTTGCAGCTGTGCAACCATGGAGTTATGGATGCACTTGGGAGATTTGCTAAGCACTCAAGAAGCTAGAGTCGCACTCGGCTATCGCCTCGTGCGACTCTTACGCTTCTTTCATGCTTAGCAACCTCCCGCGTGCATCCATAACTCCATGGTTGCACGCTGCACGTTTACCATTTCTTAATTTGTAAAAATTTAAAGATACAAAGAAAATTATTTCATTCTAAACTGAGATGTAAGTTTAATCATATAACAATTATAAAAAGTATTCCTTGTCTGCAAGTGTCAAAGGTATTCCTTGATCTACTTTTTTCTGATCTTTGTCAAAGGGTGGAAGAGAGCTGTAATAAAATGATTATAAAAGAGAAAAGACGTGAATCATCTTGTGTGTCTTACAGGCAAATGTATTACAGGAATTAAACTATGGAAAATAGCTCTCGGCTGGCCCATTTTACCGGGTTGGCTTGGCTCATGCCTTGTTTAAAATTGTTGTTGTGTTTATATGAGAAGTAGGGCTGGCGGGCGTGCTGAGATCTCAGTTGCTAGTTGAGCCGAAATCTCGGCATGCAGGCCAACCCACCTTTTCATATAAAGACAACAACAATTTTAAGAGGAAACAAGGTATGAACAGCATGGTATCTGGGCTGGCTCATCGTCCTAGAATGTAAACTACAGTGTAAACAGGCCCTTACTAATTATTGGGTATGAAAATAAAAACACCCAATGTGCAAGAAAACCAAAAGTAAAAACGACAAAAAAAAGTAATGGCTTCCTCACACGCATGTGTCAACACAAGACACGTGCACATTTGCACTAAGAGGTTTGAGAGACACCCCTAGTTACTGGTAATCCATGGGATTATTTGTATCGCAATGCCCGCACCTTCTGACAGCTGTTTGTTGAAAAAAGCCAGACAAACATTTCTACCTACAACAGCACCATGGGTTGCCATTATCGGAATGCAGGAATGTAGTTACACCACAACGCTCTCTCTTTTTCCTCAGGCTGTCAAGTGAAATGCGTGAGACATGACCACACATATGGCTGTTTCTTGTTACTTGACGCTCGCGCATGCATACACTCCCTTCACTACATCTGAAAGAATGGAATGTCAGTTCTGTCTGCTAGGACAAAATAGCTGGTGGCCATAGTAGAAAGGAGGCCATTTCAGTGAGAGGGAATTAGTAGAGGCACAACAATGGGGAAAGTCGCTGCATATTAATGGTAGCTGTGACGCAGTACATGCATCCTGTGGATACTTATTTTTTACAAGAAAACTTAAGCCCTCACTTTGTGAACAAAACGTACTTGTAAATAGCTGAACTCACAACCTCAACAATTCCACCTGCAAAGAGAAGGGAAATAAATTTAGTATTACGCATTTGGATCTTACATTATAGT